GCCTCTGGAACGGCTTCGAACAGAACGGAATGGCTCGGGCGAGCTGGCATATCTCCCGAAGCTTCGGTTACAACTTCTGATTCATCAGAGTGGCTTTCTATTGTCGCCGACTCCTGAGAGGTCACTATCTCGGCGCCAGAGTGTGCGGGTATCTGCATGGCTCGCAACTGTAGCTGAGCCTTTGCTGCTGCGATCTCAGCATCTAGTGCTGGTATCCTCAACTGCGTCGGTACGGGTCTGGGGTTAACTGCAGACTTTCGGGGCATTATTCTGATTAGCTAGAACAAATAAATGCTCATCTCTATCGGTTTCCTTCATGTCATGAGCTGGTTTGAGATCTTTTATGTGAACGCGGAGCAGCTTCTTACCAGAGGTGCTTTTGAGATCATATACTACTGGCGATATAACTTTTGTGACGGTATACGGCCCGGAATACTTGGGTGCCAATTTAGCGGCAAATCCTCTGGTCGCGGACGAAAGATGATGTTCCTTTTTCATGACCTTGTCCCCAAGATGACATCTCCATTCCCTCCTTCGGAGATTGTAATGATGACTCTGAGTCGTAAACGCTCGGGAAAGGTTAATTCGGACGAATTCAAACACTTCTCGGAGTTTGCCTAGTCTATTGGCTCGATCTGTTGTTTCCTCTGGCACATTTTCTATATCATCAGTTACCAAATTCTCTGGACGGTAGACAGCTCCTGGTAATTCCAACTCCCTCCCATAGTTGAGGAATGCCGGAGTATATCCGGTGGAGTCATGGCGAGCTGTGTTGTAAGCGAACACTAGTTCAGGTAGGTGTTGATCCCATTTGCGATGATCGCCATCGCAGAACTGCGATATCATGGTCTTCATCGTCTTATTGGTCCGTTCTACAGGGTTCGCCTGCGGGGTATAAGGTGGAGTTAAACGATGTCCAATCTTAAGATCTTTCAACAGATCTCGAAACGGTGAACCAGTGTACTGAGTCCCATTATCGGTTATGACGGTTTTCGGACACCCAAACCTGGTGATTATTTCCTCATACAAAGCTTGACTCACTGCTTTTGCTGTTGCCTTCCGTATCGGGCGGCACTGGATCCACTTCGTGAATCTGTCTTGGAATACTACCAAGTAGTTATTCCCTTTACTCGAGCGAGGCAGTGGCCCGACCAGGTCAGAACTCACAGTTTCCCAGGGTTGTCGGTTGATGGATGGTTGCATCATTCCTGGTGTCTTCTGCTGCGAAGATTTATACTGCTGACAGGACTGACAACTCCGAACGTACTTAGCTATGTCCCTGAACATACCAGGCCAATAGTACCGACTAGCGATTCTGGCTGTGGTCTTGGCAATTCCGAGATGTCCAGCAGTGGGAGCATCGTGATTCTCCTTCATAACGGATGAACGGGCTGGGTTCGGGATGCACAACTTCCAGGGGTCGGATAGCTCTGGTTCGGAATAGTCGGATGAATCCCAAAAATGACGATAGAGTCTGTCATCTTTGAGGCAATAGTCTGGACTGGCATCTGGGTCCCTCAGAATTTCGGCCTTCTTTCGAGAATACCAAGAACAGTCTAGTGTTCCCTCAACGGCAGCAATGCCATCTCCAACTGGAGGCGGGTGTCTGGATAGGGCGTCAGCCACTCGGTTCAGGACTCCTTTTCGATACTTGATCTCAAAATCGAATTGCTGGAGATACATACTCCATCTGGCTAACCTACCACTTGGGCTTTTGATATTGTGGAGCCACTTCAATGACTGATGATCTGACAGGACTGTGAAGTGGTATCCTTCAAGATAGGGGCGCATCTTCTCTATGCCCCAAACAATAGCCAGACATTCCTTTTCAGTCACTGAATAGGCCTTTTCTGGGGTTGTCAAGGTGCGGCTGGCATAAGCAATTATATGGTCGCCATCCTCCTTATTCTGTATGAGTACTGCTCCCAAACCCTGGTCACTTGCGTCCGTTTGCAGAATAAACGGCCTCTCAAAATCTGGACAGGCTAATACAGGGGATTCAGTTAAAGATTTTTTTAAGTGATTAAAAGCTTCTTCCTGTTCGGTTCCCCAGTGCCATCTATAGCCTTTCTTCAGCAGGCGGTTCAACGGTGCAGCTACATTCGAGAATCCAGGTACAAAGCGTCTGTACCAGGATGCCACTCCTAAAAATCGTCGTAATTGCCGGACTGTGGTTGGTGGTGGAAATTCCAATATTGCCTTCACCTTATCAGGATCGGTAGCTATCCCTTCACCTGTAACCACATGGCCCAGGTACTTCAGCGATCTCCTGCCAAACTGGCATTTTTCTGGGTTCAAACGTAGGTTGGCAGCTCGTAGACGGCGGAATACTTCCTTTAGTATACTGAGATGCTGCTCGAAAGTCTCTCCCAGTACTATAATGTCGTCCAGATAAGCGAAGCAGTACGGATCCAGTTCGGGCCCAATAATATGATCCATTAGACGCTGAAACGAGGCTGGGGCTGCATGCAGCCCAAATGGCATTACTCGGAACTGAAACAGTCCTCGGCCAGGTACTGTGAATGCTGTGACTGGCTTGCTTGCTTCGGTCAAGGCCACTTGCCAATACCCCTGCTTCAAATCAATGCTCGATATGTATCGAGCTCTACGCAATTTATCCAAAATTGCATTTATGAAGGGCAGTGGGTATGCATCCTTATGTGTCACAGCATTGACCTTCTGGAAGTCGATGCAGAACCTCGGTTTGCCATCCTTTTTCCGAACTATGACGACTGGTGAGCTCCACGGACTATTAGACGGCTCTATGATGGCTTCTTCCAGCATCTTATCAACTTCAGTGTTGATTACCTCCTGCATTCTAGGATTCTGTGGTCTGTACCGCTGTTTGATCGGTTCTGGGTTAATCAAACGTATCTCGTGTTTGAGTATCGGCGTTACTCCCTTGATGTCCTTGAATTGAGCCAGTTCCTGGTCCAGGAATGCTTGGAGTTCTCTATCCTCTGTCGGGGTAAGTACGAGTTTTTCGGCACGGTCGACGGCATTGATCGGGTGAATCGATGACGAAATCGACTCAGTTATTGGTTCTCCATCCATTCGTATACTTCCATTCGCAAGATCAAGCTGGAATTTCTGCGGTTTCAGAATATCCATGCCTATGACGAAATCTGATGATAGACCAGGAAGATGTCCAACTATGGCGGAAATAGTTCTTTTCCCAATCACTAAATCCAAGTAATATTTGCTGGGAACTTGAGCTAGGAGGCCATTTGCCATTCTGGCCATGGAAGCATCCGGTGCTCCTTTTGGGACTCCCATATCTTGACATTTCCTAGCTACATTATCTCCTATATACGTTCTGGATGCTCCGGTATCTAACAGTGCCTCAAAACGGTCACCAAGGGTGTGCACAGAAACGAATGGACGGGCATCTTCAGGTCGGACAGGTCGGGTCGTTTCCGAGACATTGGTGGAATGGCACTGCTCGGGTCTCGGGGCAGGGCAATGCCTTCCTAGTTTTCCGACCTAGGACAGGGACAGTCACGTGACATCACTCCTTCCTTCCCACATCTGGAGCAGAATAACTTGGGAGCAGATCGGCACTGACTCCTAAAGTGACCTGTCTCTCCACATCTCCAACACACTGCTGGTGGAGATGAGCTCGTTCCTGGTCTGGAACTGACTACTGGTGGAACAGCTCTCCTCCTCGACTCTGTTCTTTCTGAGCCAGATGTCCTAGTCATATCTGTCTTCGGGGTTTCTGGAGCTGTCAGGAAGGTTGTCGCTGGGGATGTCGGTGGGGCTCTCGACACGACAGGGTACCTTGCAGTCATTGCATAGGTTCGGTACCTCTCCTGTAACTCTCCTCGAAGTAATTCAAATTCCTTAATAGCACGAGAGAAAGTGACAATATCGGTGAAATCAGTCCTTTTGATGTGCTGTCTGTATTCCGGTAACAGGTTCCGGTATAGCCACATCAGCTCCTGTTCTGGTGTCATATTCCCATGTCTTCGTACAAGCGTCTGTATATCGGTGATATATGCTTGTACAGGTTCGTTCGGTTCTTGTAGACGTCTACCAATAGCAACTTCCAGGTCTATCTGGTAGTTAGCGGGGAAATAAAATATCCGGAACAGTTCGATGAATGCATCCCAGGTTGTACAGGCAGATCGATTATTCCTGAACCAGAGGGCGGTTTCCCCTGAGAATAAATCTGGCAACACTGCTATCAATCTATAAGCAGGTATATTCTGGGACAGCCTGATTTCTTCCAGCCTTTCTAGAAATGCAACTGGGTCGCCTAACCCATCAAATGACAAATTCCAGTGTTGAGTGCGTATCGGTTCTGGACTCACGGTTGCCATCGATGTGGATGGAGCTGTTGTCAATGTCGGTACGCTTCCTGTCGGCACGGTTCCGGGTGATGGCAGATTCACCTGGGGTACGGTGTTCATATTCGAGAATGTCCAGGCCGAAGTCAGTGGGACATTCCCTGGAGTCGGTGTTGGTGGGGCGGTACCCATTCGACCTTCCCTCAGGAACCTAACCAGTCGTCTCCTTTTGTCCTCAACTGTTCCAGTGACTTCAAGGCCAAACTTAGACAGTTCCACATCTATGTCAGCCTTTTTCAACTGATATACCCAGCTGACTCTGACATCTACGGGGTCCTTAGACTTCGACGGAGAAGTCTGTCCGTCTGCGGACTCCGGAGCCTTAGTATTGTCTTCGTTCACCATTTTCGATCGAATCGGTGTACTCTCCTAAGTATCGAAATATCTGGAGAACAAAAAATCGTATCCTGTCGGTAGTGTCGAAATCAGATTCACCGATTGCCAAAACCTAATGAACGAGGTGCGACACGATATATGACTAACTTGTCTGACAGCTGTCAAAGTGACAGGTAACGATCTGATCACGTTAAATGCTGTGGCCGGCCACTTAATAACGTCCTATCATGTGCTAACCTTGAATAAACTTCTTTGCCACTCCTAACACGCGACAGGGTGATCGTACCTACTCGAGAATACGCCAAGCAGTTTTCCCTACCCAAAGTACTCGCTGAACAGGAATAACTTGCCCACATTCACGAAAAGCTGACTTCGGTTTTCCTCGGGTTTCCTCGGTTTATCTTTCGATCTCACTCGGCTTTTATCGGTCCCTGCTCGGGCGCCAAATTTGTAAAGGGTTAAAGGTACCCTTGACTTTATTCGGGCACTTGAAGCGGGTTCTTTAATTATTTACAAGAAATGTTAACTCGGGCGCCACCTATATTATAGTGGTAGGTCCACTTGCTCCGGGCAGCTTTCAGTGAAGAAACGGTAATCCAGGGGTCTGATATCTATCTCTCAAAATGATAAGTTGATCTCAATAATTGGTTTGATTTTTCCCGGATTACCAACTGCTCTGTTATAAAACAAAAATGAAACTCAATATCAACTAACTTGATTTATTCCTTAACTCTACTATACAATCATCTAGTATATGTACAAATTTACCCCAAGAAACCAGAAATCATTACCTTCTGTTGACGCGGAATGCAAAATGCATTTATCACTGAAAAATTTACACATTAAATACAATCAAGCAATAAGCACGCAATCTAATTATCGACACAGGCAGGGTTAGAAAAGCATCTCTAGTACAAAGCCTCTAGCTCTCCAGCTCAAATCAAACTTTTATTTTCAAGCACAAGCAGTTAATAGTAAAATAAAAGTGCAGTTGCAGTGCTTCGGTTGACTCCGACAGGTAATCTCCTTTTTTTTTCGATGCACTTGGCAACACCGTCCTATCACGAGCGTGACCCAGTGATAGAGCCGTGCTGTACAATTGGATCGAAGATTTCCAAAACTCCCGTACTCTGATTCATCCGGCAACACCGTCCTACTACGAGCGTGACCCAGTAATAGAGCCGTGCTGTACAGTTGAATAAAAGATTCCAAGATCTCCGGTTTTCCAATTCATCCGGCAACACCGTCCTATTACGAGCGTAGCCCAGTAATAAAGCCGTGCTGTGCAGTTGGACCAAAGTCTCTAAGGTCTACCACACTTTAATGCATCCGGCAACACCGTCCTATTACGAGCGTAGCCCAGTAATAAAGCCGTGCTGTTCAGCTGAATAAAAGTTTCCAAGATCTCCGGTTTTCCAATGCATCCGGCAACACCGTCCTATTACGAGCGTAGCCCAGAAATAGAACCGTGCTGATAAACTGAATCGGATATCCGGAATCTTCGTAATTTCAATTCATCCGGCAACACCGTCTTATCACGAGCGTAGCCCAGTAATAAAGCCGTGCTGTTCAACTAAATTGAAACTCACGAGATCTAAGCAAACTCAAGAACGGCGGTATCCGTTCTTGCAACCTACACAAGCAGCACTGTTATCGTTTGCATATCAAGCGGACTCACCTAAGTAAGTTTATTTTCAAGCACTTGCGGTATCAAGTGGATCGGTCTAGCGGTTTCTATTTTATTCCTCAGCGTGTAATTCGGTATATGCGGTCAGCAACAACTAACTTTTCTTGGTTCCTATCGACGGAGCTCGCCTCGGGTTCCCACTCTCACCCGAGAGTGGGGCGAAAATTGCGCTATCGCGCAGCCGACCGTCGTCCGTGAGTCTCGGCTATGCTTCGGATATCTCTATTTCGCTATCATTTAATTACTGATTAATCCAACCTATCAAAATTCTAATTCGCGCTCACGAACAAATTACAGTATTACTCCCGGAGAAATAAATGATTCAGTTACGAAAAAGAACGGCGCCGATAGCTTGTCATTTACTCAAGTTAATATCATCAGAGTTATTCTCTATACTAAGTATACAGGATGTCTCCCCTGAGAGTAATCAAATCTGAGTAACTTCGTTACATTATATACATTTTTTTGATTTAAATGATGGAATCTATCTCCCATTTCAGTTGGTGCCTTAAAACCTGAATCACCCTGTATACTCAGTCAGGTACACCTTTTTTCGTTCTCTCAGTCTCGTTTGTATTTTTTTTTTGTTTTATTGAAATTTTGTATTGAAAATTTCAATCTAATCGGTCAAGCCGTTTAGTAGTTGACGTACCGACAGCAACGCCACCTACTACGTCCAATTGTATTCTCAAATCATCCACGAAAACTATCGAAATACCCATATACAATTTCAACGCAATCGGTTCAACCGTTTAGAAGTTATGTGAAAATGATAAATCTGACTACCCGTTGTTCAACTACCCGTTGTCCAACTACCCGTTTTCCCGTAGGAATGAAACTTATATCTAATGTAAAAACTTCACAAACGATAAGATTTCCACATGTGGAGTCAATTCGAAACTTATATCCACATCACGGTCCTATTCACACGTGAAATCTATCGGATTTCGTGAATTATTAATTTGACAACAGCAAATAACAGTTGCTGTCAACTCACTCTGCGCGCGGACAATGATTGCCAGTTCGATTTTTATTCCATCAGTAAATTCAGTAGATTTCAATAGATCTGTTGGAGATCTATTTTATGCTATACGCATTCCAAGAAATAATAATGAAAAAACCCTATGATGTCAAAACACTATGGACTTTTAAAAAATAAAAACAAGCAAAACAAACATTCTTATATGAAAATAATGATATTCCTAATCAGTCCAGTAGTTTCGGAGCCTATTCAATACAAACAAACAAACCTACAATCAATCAAACAAACGACCAAATCTTTCCTCATTATAATATAAGTATAGATAATGACCATCAGCTAACAATAAAATCACACTAATTTGTGTAATAACTATTTGTGAATATAAAAATTGATAATTCGAAAACGCCGCAACGCAATTGGTGAAATTAGATGAGGTTGCTTAGACAATTATTGTAGAGAAAATAGTGTATTTTAAAACTTCAATATTATCATCTACAACTATTAAGTCAATGCATTGCATATTCTATATAACAACAGTCATCAACAGCCTTGATTATTTGCACATGTTTGCACTAACAAGATGAACCATCCTTATGAAAGCAATATGAAACCAGAAATTTTATTCAGTAGGTAGCGGCATCTATGAGCGACAAGGTGAAGTACTTTTTGTTGAGTAGCGAAGGGTATAGAGATCGGTAATGCAGAATATATTCTCGCATCAGAGCCGGATTGGAGTGTTTTTATTATTTAAATGTCAGGATATCAGAGCAGATGATTTTGCTGCTTCAGAAAGAAGAATATTCGTAGTCAGTTCAGCAACTTGCTGATAGATGGAATTCGATCAGATTTCGAGAGTAAAGACAAATCGGCCATACCTTGCTAGCTATGCTGCTGCTAGCGCCGCTTACGAACCAGCCAAGAACTAAGGGCAAATTTGGCTTCAATATATTTAAAGGAGGTGGAACATTTTGTTAGTGTAAATAACCAATGATGACAGTCATTGTTGTAGTGAATGGAGTAATAACGACAGTGCGATTGAGTAATAATGCGACATTCCATTGTAGTACAATGCCACTGTTAGTGAACTATACGAATGAAATGAACTCATCTTACATAGACCTCATAGTTTCAATCGCCTTTTTGGATGATTTTTTCAAATGGAGTGGGGGGACAAGAGATACCTCAATTGAAACGTCTTCCGGTTATTCCGTCATGATTTCAGACAAATATATTCATCCAAACCAAAATGGCGGATGATAATGTTTGAAATCTCACACCAAGATTATTTTAACTAGATAGCTATTAAAGTAGTCTCATGTGATCTTCAACTCTCTATTGGCGTCTAAAAAAAACCTCTATCCATGGAGATATCAAAAGGAAGCCATTTAGTCAATTATACCTTTGCTCGATTGTCTTTCCAAAGTCAGCAAAATTATGAAAATATTTTTTCAAAATGGCTTTTTTTTGATATCTTCATGGATAGAGAACTTATCTAGCCGCCAATAGAGAGTTGAAGATCACACGTGAGCACTTTAATAGCCATCTATGTAGTGGAAAGGATCCTGGTGTGAGATTTCAAACATTATCATCCGCCATTTTGTTTTGAATGAATATTTTTTGTCTGATATTCTGAGGTTGTATTGAGAATCGAAGGACCTTTCAATTGAGGTATCTTTCGACCCCCCATCCATTTCAGGCGCGATTTGGGAAGATACATTCTTTATTTTGATTCAAAATGAAGCAAAAAAATGAAAATAAAATCCTAGCCGTTCATATGTTAACCAGGGAGGAGGGTGACTTTATGGACACAGTGTATATCTGAAATTTGGAACATCTAATGTGCTCACTAGAGGCTCACATTTAAGAATTTTTTTTTCATCTTCCAGTTTTCCTGGCAATGACATCAACTTTCAATTTTCAAATGAAACACCCTATATTTTATACAATATTTGGTTGAGATTATTTCAACGAATTCATCGATACCGGGTTTGACTAGGTTATTTCAAACGATTACGAAGATATTTGCGTTCGAAGTTTCCATATGATCAATGGGTGTGACGGCGCAATATCAAAACTTCTATCTCTGTCACACTCATTGATCATATGGAAACTTCGAACGCAAATATCTTCATAATCGCTTGAAATAACCCTATCAAACCCAGTATCGTTGAATTCGTTTCAATAATCTCTAGCCTATTATGAAATAAAATATAGGGTGTTCCATTTGAAAATCGAAAGTTGATGTCCAGGAAAACCAGAAGATGAAAAAAAAATCCTAAAATGAGAGAGTATCCTCTAGTGAACATATTCAATATTCTAAATTTCAGAAATATAGCTAGAAAAACAAATGAGAAAAGGGGGGTATACCGACCATAAATCTGTGTCACCCGGTATAGGCAGATGAGAATTTATTTTTTCCTTGAATTCTCAACAAAAAACGATTGAAAATGATAATTCATTTTGCCCACACATACATATGAACAATTGAGTACAGACGATCAGAACGATCTCACTGCAATTTTCATTTTAGTGAGTGATAGCCATCATTATGTGCTGAATATTAATAATATACTATTGTTTGGTTATTATAATTGAATAAAAACTCACCTTTCTGTAGTAGGATCTGCACAATTCAAAGGATACCTCAATTCGATTATATCACCATTCTTCTCCTTCAACTGGCCCTGCTTCTCCATATAATACTGTACAAGTTCTGAGAGTGTAGCAAACTTTTCACCACCATAAAGATCGTAGAAATCGCCGGAATTTTGTATTTTGATGTGTATGACCTCTCCATTACGCCTGGAAGTAAAAATTCATATATACAGGGTGTCCCATTGAGAAACGGAAAAACTTCAATGGTGGGTAGAGCTCATCAAGGTGGTTCTGAATATACCATATTTGTAGGGTCTCACAAGTTTTATATCCGAGATATAGGGTGTTTTATCAATTTTGCCCAATTCTTTGTGGGGACATAACTTACGAACCACTTAGTATATTCTTTTGCAATTTGGTACACAATTCCTTCTTTTTCTACCAAAGCGACTCACCTATCATTCACGAGAAAAATCCAGGTCCGGATTAACGAAAATTGAGCATATTTCTGGACCCCAAAAAGAACACCCTTTATTTTCGAATTCTCAAAATCCGCTTACATATTTGGAAAGTGCATAAAAAGCTGAACCGAATGGTGCACTTGTCATTTTCCCGCATGCAATTTCAATAAGGAATTTCTGATTTTGAATCCGAGGTTTTATGCATTTGGATAGGTAAAAATAATATGTTTTGAGTTTTCCCAATCGAATAATATTATCACGAACCACCCAGTATATTCTTTTGGAATTTGGTACACGAGTTCTCCTTGATCTACCCAAGCCCCTCACCTTTCATTCACGAGAAAAATCCAGGTCCGAATTAACGAAAATTGATTATACTTCTGGGCCCCAAAAAGAACCCCCTGTATTTTAGAATTTCCATAATATGCTTACATATTTGAAAATTGCACAAAAAGCTGAATCGGATTGTCTACTTTTTATTTTCATACGAATGCTATTTCACTACTGAATTTCTGATCTTGAATTTGGGGTTTTATGCATTTGGACAGGTAGAAATCGAGGTAAAATGGAAAGTTTTGAGTTTTCAGAATCAGAAATCAATAAGTGAAAGAGCATGCGGGATATTGAAAAGTACACAATTCGATTCATCTCTTTGTGAACTTTCCAAATATGGAATCGGATTTTGGAAATTCTAAAATACTGGGTGTTCTTATTTGGGCCCAGAAGATCATAATTTTTCGTTAATCCGGACCTGGGTTTTCATCGTGACTGATAGGTGAGTCGCTGGGGTAGAAGAAGGAGGACTTGTGTACCAAATTCCAAAAGAATATACTGGGTGATTCGTGATAGTTTTTGTTATTCGATTGGGAAAACTCAAAACATTTCATTTTTACCTATCCAAATGTATGAAACCTCATATTCAAAATCAGAAATTACCTAGTGAAATAGCATGCGGAAAAATGGAAAGTACATCATACGATTCAGATTTTCATGCACTTCTCAAATATGTGAGCGGATTTTGGAAATTCGAAAATACAGGGTGATATTTTTGGGGTCCAGATATATGATCAATTATCGTTGATCCGGTCCTGGATTCTTCTCGTGACTGATAGATGAGTCGCTTTGGTAGAAGAAGGCGAAATTGTGTACCAAATTCCAAATGAATATACCGAGTGGTTCGTAAGTTATGTCCTCACAAAGAATTGAACAATATTGATAAAACACCCTATATCTCGGATATAAAACTTGCAAGACCCTACAAATATGGTATATTCAGAACCACCTTGATGAGCTCTACCCACTGTTGAAGTTTTTCCGTTTCCCAATGGGACACCCTGTATATTCATAATTGACCATGGACTATTTCAACATTTTAATGACACCTTGTATGGAAATATAATGAAATATTATTCTGTTCAGGAATCAAGATTGCAACTCAAAATGTCCATATTTTTACATGATATCGATAAAAATTTCCTTTTTCACGTTTCAAGTTGCAATCTTGATTCTTTTTTTTTATGATTGATTGTCCGGCCTGTCTTACTGTAAAAAAAATTGCATTAGATATCTGTACGACTGTTACTATCAGCAATAAATATAGGGACGAATCAAGCGATATACAAAGAACGACCATTTCAGCGGCTCTCTACTACACTCGACGACTTTGTTGAAAATCAAACACCTGGAAAACGTTTTGAAGTTCAGGAATTTATTTCCACAAATCTTGTCCGCCATCTTGGATCAGCCATTTTTTTTAATTTCAACAAAAATTCCATAATGTATTGTCACGTGAAAGAAACTAAAAAAAGGCTTGTAATAAGAATTATTCAAAAATACAAAGAATTCAGCAATACATACTCCATTTATTCTGTAACTAGAAACAATCGAAAATCTATGAAAGGTACTCAGAAAGTCCACCTTCACATTCTACGCATTTGATACATCTTCGAACACTTGCTCTTAGAACGTTTCGTAAAATATTATAGTCAATTGCTCTAAAAGCGCGAAGAACAGCCTCTCTCAATTCTTCAACGTTGTTGTAGGTTCTCTGATATACCTTATTATTCATATAACTACCCCCAGAGAAAAAAATCCATCGGGGAGAGATCAGAGGATCTGGCAGGCCATAAACAATGACCTCTATTAGCAATCCATCGTCCCGGAAACCTCTCTCTGAGATAATTTGAAATTACAACAGCGTTGTGCGCTGGTCACCCATCTTGCTGGAACCACATTCGTTCGTTCAAGTTGATAGGTATCTCATCCTATCAATTCGAAATACATTATGGAATTTTTGTTGAAATTAAAAAAAAAATGGCTGCTCCAAGATGGCGGACAAGATTTGGTCCGATTCCATTCAAAATTGGTAAGTGGGGGTTTTTGAGGTCGGAGATCATGATTTTTTTGTTAAAATTTATAAATTCAAGATGGTGGCTTCCAAATAATTTTTTGTCTTTGTATAAATGACGATAACTCCGTTGTTATCAACACAAAACTATTACTGCGACACATTATCTGTAAGAGAAAGAAAAGTTATTTGTAACTAAGTCATAGTGAACTATGACCTACTTTTGAAAAACTTAAGTTGGTGCTGATATCTTAAATTCTAGAAGAGTTGGTATAAATTTCATATTTTTTTCGAAATCACTTTGAAAAACTGCCATGAGAATGTGAAATTCCTATATGAGTATTTTCATAAATAAAGAAGTTACGGAGGAGACATGAAAATGATCAAAATCTGTTTTTTGCGTATGAAACAAAAACGAATAGATTTTATCAAAATATTTTTTCACATTATAGTTGGCCTTGAGAAACTCCACATTTGGTGTCATTTAACCGACCTCGTATCTCTCACCGTTAAAAAGATACCCATGGTGAGCATGGTAAGTGGGACACACTGTATAGGTATATCTAGAGAAGTTTATTTGTAATAGTATCGTTTCATTTTATTCAATACTCTAAACTTAATAGCCTAAAGCAAACCAAGGGTCCCTTGATAGAATTTGTTACAGGCCCCGCGCTGGCTTAATCCGGCACTGGTTTTTGATCCTTCGTACTCAAATCTAGTACGCGATTTTCATAAATCGTACTAGATTCGACATGTGATGAAAAAATGAAGGAATAATTATTATTGGAAATGAATCTTAATTTGGGTAACAAAAAATATGGAACGAAATAAATGACTCGGCCAATGATGAAAATGTGAAATAAAACAAAATAAATACTTCTGACAGAAAAAGAAGGTGAATTCTTATACAGTGAGCACGTTAGGGTTGGATCATATTCATCAAGTTTGATATGTAAATTGTGAAAAAAGCTCAGACACTTAATTGTCTTTTTCAGATGCGAATTCGTTGGTCTACTCATATTCTTGATGACATCATCATTGTAAATTACAATAGATGAAATCGAAGAACGTACTAGATGATGGAGGAAGCAAGGTGTAATAGTAATAAATTCAGTACAATTGTAATAGCATCCCCAACGCTAGCAACAGGAGCCCATCACGGAGCATCCTGAACTTCACCTTTTGAAAAATCGAAATTGAATGTATTGTATATTTTTTTTGTAATATCAACAGTTTGTCAATTTTCAATAAAGTTATTATTATTATTATTTTTATTATTACTATTATGAAATAATGAAAATTTTATATTGGCAACACTGGAAATGAGAGGAATTGGAGAAGAAGACCTGGGTTTCAATTACTATTACAATAGTAATAGATCTATTACATTCTAGCACTCTCCATTACGTCGTTACTACTATTTGAAATTCATAGCGAATCTATTACCATTCGATTCCAACTCGTTAAAAAGAAGAACAGCATAAGAACACTCTGAATTCGCGGTAGCCAAGGTCATCATCTGACGTCTGATGTTGCGATGACATAAAAACTACGTGAAAACATGTGTAACTTACAATCTAAGCCAGGAGTAAGGTGGCTATGCCAGAATTCCAGAAATTAGGAATGTTATCCCGTAGTTTTCATGTCATCGCAACATTAGATGATGACCTTGACTACCGCCAATGAAGTAGTGCTCGAGATGACGGCCGACGGAGCGGATAAGAGGTTTATTTGGGCTTCTGACGTCACAAGCACAACTGACATAATTACTAGACTATACGTCGTATCCCAGCAAACCAAAAATCTTGTTTAAATTCCTCGCCTGGAAACGTTTCTGCTCAATGCGCAGGAATCCTCAAACTGTCGTTCATGACATATGGAGTCATGCGAGTCATGTCTCTTGGTGTTTGATATGGTATTCGCAAACATAAGTAAGAGTGAGTAAGATATAATGACAGGCCCATATTACGCACGCTCCATATTGAACCAAGAACCAATTTCTATCTCATTAGAGATCTCATGAATGAATGAGCTTTGATCTTATGGCATTAGCGATCTAGTTAGTAATTTATGTTGGTGGTTTTAGTGGATTTATGGAAATTTCACCTATTGCATGATCATTAACCACTTTGCTACTGAAAATAGTGGAGATGAGATGTTCGAAGCGCATGCGCATAACTATATATTTTTTCTTTTTCGTCATTTTTCAATCTATCACTATTCACTGTCATCTATTACAATTTCACGTCGCAATTTAGTACATTTTATTGTATTCCTCATGGCAACCCTGAAGAAGACCATTCTAATCATTTTAATTTGGAACACAGAAGACAAGATGGGGAAGACATTTTTCTTCGCTGCACTGCTCTATTGGCCTGAGTGCAAGATTCTATGCACGCCCACTCAAGCAGAGAAGAAGAATACATAACTTGAAGCATGAAGTTGCATGAAGTGTCATTTTCGAGCAATTTTCAAATTGTTCCACTAGAGGCGCGCATTGCAAGTTATCTTTTATCTTTGTGCCGCCAATGTTGTGACATGTGACATTGACATTAAGCATGTTGATTTTGGGGTTTGAGGGTTGGGTTGGAGCCGTTGGAGGTTGATTTAACTGTGCTCAAGGTTGAATGTCTACTTCCTCCTGTTTTTTTTATGGAAAATAATAAATTATTTTTTTCTCATTAATTGAATAGCAAATGTTTGACACCTGTGCACTGTGCACTAGCAGTAAGCAGTAGCTATCAGCAAGCTACTAAAAGGAGTTTGGAGAGATACTGCTGGCTAGTCATAGTACTCTAGTTTATCAATCATTTGACTAGCTGGACAAGCCCATCACAAATCGCAAAAATTAATTACCGAACGATGGGTCGGTGCACAAGTCTCTTCAACACCAATTATACTTATTTGAATTTTCACAAAAACCCTAAACCACATCTTCTTGTCTTCACTTTCACCACACACCACATACGTTTAGGTAGTTCTTAGGTAAACGACAATGTTGATAATGCTCAGTAAACTACTATATCAAGATCAACTCAATTTTTTACCTGACGGATAATGTAAAATCTCCTGGATTGCCGGAACTGGGTCGTGCCAAAAAACTGCAATCCACCCCTCTTTCCATCAACAATTTTTCTGCCACGATCCCACTGATTGTGGGCCAAAACCATCTGGAATTGAAATTATGTGATAATAGTGGGTAGGTATGCAATTTAAAATATGTCACTAGTAGGCCTTGAAAATCTTTCATGCAACAAAACAACATTTTTTTGTTTTTGTGATCAATTATTATTATTGTTCGACAAAAAACATATTACCGTGAATTATTCCAACGTTCGTACATTGAAATAACCAAATCGAAAATAATAGTAGAATGCACTAAATGGTACTTTACCTTCTAGAACTCATTTTTAAACATAAAATATATAATACAAAAGAATATTTTTATTAGCGTAAAGAACCGACTTTCGTACGGAACGCCATCTTGATTGTATCAGGAGCAGTTAATAATTAATCGACTTACTTTCCTAGACGAAAATAATCAGGAAGAGAGTACTGAAAAATGTGGTATTGATATCAGGGTGATCATTTGAAAATAAATAGTCAAAATGAAACTGAAACTCCCCTGTTTAGTGTACCCTTGGTTTTGTCGAAAGTGAATTGGTTTGCTAATACTTATCGATGGATCCTCGTATACGACCCCTCCTTCCAAGTTCCAATTTCCATTATTTCCAATCAGTAAAAACAAAGTAAAAACGTACGAAGTACGAACTACTAGGTGATGTAAAGAGAAGAAATTCAATTAAAATGAAATATTCCTCCAATATTATTAGATTTTAAAAATCTAAATTACAGCCATGATTAAAGTTGGAGTAAAATTTTGAAGGGAAAGTGTGGGAGCATATCAGCATCTGATTATTCTGATTGGTTTTAGAATATTCTAGGGAAGTTTTAGGTTAGTTATGTCAATACCTACTTTTATACTAATCATATTTTTCTAATACTGTCTTAATCGGTGGTTTGGGTGCATAAAAAATAAAAAGTTGAAGTTGTTTATTTATTTATTCACTAGATATCCCTCTGTACTATTATTTACAAGTGAATGATAATAGGGAAACAATCATGAACTGATAACTGGAGCTTTATCTTCTGAAGCCCCTTCAGATAGTAATTCATTATGTTCCAACAGTTTCTTCTGATCTATTTGTGGCTTAGTACTTGTATAATATCGATAAAATCTAAATACTAACTCTGTACCAGCCAATAAGGTCGCTGCCATGCAAGTGTAAACGAAACCTCTATGTAATTTGTCCAGGATTTTGTTCTTAACCATCGCTCTTCTCTTCATGTTGAAGTAGATGAAAAAGTTGCCTCTACAAGTCCAGCAAAGAAATCTGAATCAACCAGTCTTCTGGATATTCACAATGGTATGATTTTAGGAATAATATGTATTAGTTTTACATTATTTTCTCATTTTTTCCTGATTGATAGCAACTCATTAGCAGAAAAGTACAAAGGTACCAAGAGCACCCGATAGTACTTGCTTTTTACTTTGCTTCCTTGCTCAGATCAGATAAACATAACCAATCTTTTTTTATTCAGTCAACACTGTCAACAGTCAGTTTCTTCTTCTCGTACTTCTTCTTTTTCGCCTCTTTTGTTTGGTGTCGAACAGACTTCCAAACTTTATCTTCTCAATTAGTCGAGATTACATATCGGAATTCCACTTAAAGATTCACAATTCTGATTCATGAAAATATCTCAATCATTTATATCATCACGTTCTACTTTTCGTATGAAGTACGACCCTGTAACCTGTAACAACGACAACGATTTCGATTGATTCGATTTTCAATTTTTCACATCTCAATTTTCACTTTAGGCAGAAGCGAAGCTGTCAGGAGTGTCAGGTCAGCTGTCAGTTTATGGAAATTCATAATGATAAGTCAACAACAGATGTCGCCATGATAGGAAGCCGTGGTCCGTGGTTCGTGCGCTGCGCTGTAATGTAAAATTTCTCGGAATTTGTGTACGTGAACCCAACCCAAAAGTGTGATTTTAATATAATTCTACGGCCCTTTTATAGTTGATTCAAGGATAGTTTCATCGTAAAGGTATTTAACGTAATTGAAAATATGTTATTCTTCTCAAACCCACTGATAAGAGTTCGAAAAATTACTTCCGGACTCATTGTGCATCTTAAAAATGACGCTTGGAATGCACTGAAAATGGCAGCATTGATAAAAACTATTCCTGCATAAATTTACCATATCAGTTTCAATGCATTCTAATGATTAACGATTAGAATTGCCGTCATAGTGCATAACAAAACCTGTTTTGTTGCAAATCTAACTGGTACTTTCAGCTATCAGCTCCTAACTATTAACTATTCCTATCACAGATCACAGGAAAACTGTCATATGTGACACCTTCAACTTTATCTGAAAATCATTTAAGTAGTTTTCTCTCCATTTTCAGTTTGTAAGGATGCAGACTATCAAGTGTGTGGTGGTAGGAGATGGAGCTGTTGGTAAAACATGTCTCTTGATCAGGTAGGTTTATCCTGAGTATCAACCCCACTTCCTACATTGAAAATATATTTTTTTTGTTTTAGCTACACAACAAATAAGTTCCCTTCTGAATATGTACCTACAGTGTTTGATAACTATGCTGTTACTGTAATGATAGGTGGGGAACCCTACACCCTTGGATTGTTTGATACTGCAGGTGAGTTACTGTACTTTTTTAAAATAAAATAGTTGCCAAAAGTCAGGCAAGTCTAGACAAGAGTAGATCTGAAACAAAACTGGTGAGAGAAATATCATTCAGTCACTTGATTTTATCTACACATTATTCACACCATTTTTTTCCCAAAAGGCAAATAGATGATAATTGGGAGTATTTTTATGAAAGACATTGTAAAGGAACTGGATGTTTTTAACATGGCACCCTTCATTAGAATTGAAATTTTGTGAATATCCTATCTCAGAATTTGATAGTGAAACAACAGCTTCTTTAGCTATCAATGTTGGTTTGTTCAAAGGAGGAGATTCTCAAATTCCATACAACATTGTAGTAACTCTCATTTTTACATAATATTTTGTTTTCTCATTCAGACATTCTTATCAAGAATCAAATGTTCATTACTTTATGAAATATTATTGCCTTATCCTTTAATTTCTACCTTTTTATGCCTCATTTATTTTACTAAATTCATAGGCTCATTGGCTCATAGGCCTATTGTTTAGTGAACAATATGGATTTCATAGGTCAAAAGACACAGAGGTAGCTGCAATGGATGTCATTTCAGATATTCAGTTATGAATAGATGACAATGACAAATGCAGCATTAAGTCTCTGGATCTCTGTAAGGCCTTTGACACTGTAAATCATAATATTTTATTGACTAAATTATCATCAATAGGTGTCAGAGGCAAAATTCATGATTGGTTCCAAAATTATTTGAAGAATAGGAAACAGTATGTTGATGTGAATAATACTTGTAGTTCCTTGATGAATATTACATGTGGTGTACCGCAAGGATCAGTTTTGGGGCCAATTTTATTCTTAAAAATTGAAAGGAAAACTAAAATTATTTGCAGATGATACAACAATAATCTATACTTCAAAAGATAATGAGTTGAAAAATATAGAAGCAGAAAAATTTAAAATGAAATTAAAGAAATATCTGCTCAGTAAACTTTAATTCCATATCTACTAATAGTACTAATCATTCACAATTTGATTACTTGTAATGGATTATAATATTCTCATTTTATATTTTATTATAATTTTTTTTATGAAAAACAATAATTATATATGTTTTGTTGTATATATCCCTATTATAAACAATAATGTTTCTTGGGGTTATAAAGACAATCAATCAATCAGAATGCATAATAATTACCTTGTTAATTTTGGTTCAGTAATAATTGAAATCATTTGTTCATTCAGTTTGTGATTTCATTGGGGATTACACCAGATTCCAATAATAATGATTTGTATTATGCACATTTTTTTCTCAACAAAAATGACCAATAACACTAATTTTATCTAAAATGTGAAAATTAACAGCCAACTCTATCATGTATCCAAGGTCACAAGATTGTGACGTCATTGTGTCTGCCCACTGCATCTCATGGGCTTGTTCTTTGATTTTTGTGAATACTATTTAGTTTTTTCAGTATTAATCTTCATTTCACTTCATATAATTCAAGGATTTCAAATGATTTTCATTAAAGCAACGAATTGGACAGGCATGATGATCATCATTTCTGATTTTTTTATTTGTTTTAGGCCAGGAAGACTATGATAGGTTACGTCCTTTGAGCTATCCACAAACTGATGTCTTCTTAGTATGCTTTTCCGTTGTTAGTCCGTCCTCATTTGAAAATGTCAAAGAAAAAGTGTGTAATAACGTTGGTGGCAATTTCAGCAACTATGTTAACACTATATATATTTTTTAGTGGGTTCCTGAGATAACACATCACTGTCAGAAGACGCCATTCTTATTGGTCGGCACTCAGGTGGATCTTCGTGATGATGGGGCCACAATAGAGAAATTAGCAAAAAACAAACAAAAGCCCATATCAATTGAACAAGGTAAAATTTGTGTGGGGTGGATATGACCCAAAAATGACCCTTTGATTTTATTATCAACTGCAATATTGCATCAACATTATAAGTTCATAATAATAGCTATGTTACACATAAACTATCTTTAAACATGGCAAGTTTACTTATGGAACTATCTTTGATGTTTCAATTGCAATGTTGTACTAACTTTTGAAATTCTATTAGTTTTTTGAATATACATATAATATTTTGGTGATGTATGTGATATTTTTCCTTTCAATTTGATTTCATCATGTAATGGATCTTTCAATTTTTTTATTTCATGAATCAACAGTATTGATAATTTTATTTCACATTCTGATGTTTTTCCCTGAATGGCAATGAAGAAATCCACACTGAAATAATTGGGAGCAAAAAAAAACTGTCCACAGTGAACAAAATTGAATCCTCTATATATTTTTGTGTTTTTCCTTTTCAGGTGAAAAATTGGCCAAAGAACTGAAGGCAGTTAAATATGTTGAATGTTCAGCTCTCACTCAAAAAGGCCTGAAGAACGTTTTTGACGAGGCCATTCTAGCGGCTCTGGAACCTCCAGAGCCTGTCAAACGCAAAAAGTGCATCATCCTGTAGATTAAGACCATTTTTTCACTTGGGTGAAAAAGTTTCAAAGTATTTCCAAGAGGTGGGAACAGACTAAAATATAGCTACTCAAGATTAGGACAAAACTGTTTTCAAACAAATGTTCTGCTTACTTGAGGCCAGCTTTCCTTTTATGGGTTTTCCAAATTTGTTTTCAGTAATTTTTTGAATTTCTCTGGTATGGCTCAAAATGTATCGGTTCCATTATAGATACTCTGCTTGGAATGAATGAGGAAGTCAAAATAATTATGTTAATGGATTTCAGAGTACCTTAATTGTTTTCAAGCAGATGTAGGTATAAACAAAGCACATTCTAAACCATAACCTCATTTAAAATTGACAATATAAAAAGAGACAGGTTGAATGCCTGTCACTGTTTATTATTTTCAATTTTATCATAAATTATTCATAGGGTATATTGAAATTATATATTCCAGTCAACTTACCACTTTCTGATATTTTGAAGGTACCAACTGCTCATCTCTAGAAAATGTCATGAAAATATTTACCGTGAATCAAAACTGATTTCATGTGAATCAACGGATTTCACGTGAATCAACGGATTTCACGTGAATCAACGAATTTCACGTGAATCAACGGATTTCACGTGAATCATGGGATTTCACGTGAATCAACGGATTTCACGTGAATCAACGGATTTCACGTGAATCAAAACGGATTTCACGTGAATCAAAACGGATTTCACGTGAATCAAAACGGATTTCACCAAAATTAAATCCGATTTCACGTGAATTTAATTAAGATCAAGCATCGTAGAAATGGAAAATATTCGCGTAAATCCGTAGATTTCACGTTAATAAAATTGAGTTTTACGCAGATAGACATCAATCAGAATTAGTCCAGATACTGGGTTCCCGTTCATTGAATTATCTTTTCTGCTGTGATTATTAGACTGTGTTTTTAGGCTGAAATCCTATTTCACGTGAATAAAACAGAATTTCGCCACAATTCAAAAAAATTTCACGTTAATAAAATATACTTCCCTTATATGAACACATAGTTCACAGTTGATAAAACCAATTTGCTCAGTCAAGAAATTGGGTTTTAATCAACTTTTCAATTGTGATTCTCCATGTAATTAAGTTTACCAAATGAAATATCTGATATTACGTGAATGAAATTGAATTTCACGCCAATTAAAAACGATTATGGAATGACGCAATATATTCGCGTGAATGAAATCGAACTTCAGATAGAAAAATCAAATTCAGTGTTTGAATAACCGAATTTCGTGCGAATTGAAACATATTTTTACGTACAGTCGTCTTCATCGAACATGTCGCCTTTGGACGTTATGAGCGCTCTTATTGCAGCAGTGATCAAGGGAGCTGACACCGTCCATGTGCGACATGATCTGTGAAGACGACTGTACTATGAAAAAACCGATATCACTCAATTTCATACAGGTAATTTCGTGAAATTTGTTGAATAAAAGTTGTGTGATTGAATGCAGAAGTTATAATTGACAATTTATTTACAAAAAATAATACTTATATGATGCATTAATTTTCAAAATAACAGGAAATGGGTGGCAAAGCAAATTGTTTTAAATGTATTGAGGTTAAGGAGTTAATCTTATTCTAATTTTAATTGTTCGTTACACTTCTGTAGGTTTCTTTAGATAATCAATTCTCATTTATTTCATTTACATAAAAATGGTGCTAATATAACTGTTCTGGAAAAGGGTATGAATATATTTAAAACAATTTGAAGTCTTCGGGACATTCGAGAATATTTCTCTACCACAAAAATACGTGAATGAATAAGCAGTACTTTTTATCTTGTTGCATAATGACTCACATTTTTTTGAATGTCCTGTAGTTGAATAATGTTTAATCTCAAATTTACAGAATGTATGAATTAAAATGAATATGAATAATGGGTTAACAGATAATTTTTTACGCTAAAGCATAATTATTGTATATAACTGTGAGAAAGGTTCATGCGTGCGTGTGATGAATATTATTTAACATCTTTTGAATTTTCATTACAAAATAGAGGATTTGGATTAATTGCGTTTCTACATTTCCAGAGTTAGTACTAATATAGGTATATTATTTGTTTTACTAAGTGTGTACAGACGTTTGAATGTTGTAATTTAAGTATCCTTATCTGATATAGATATTTAATACAAGAAATAATAAAACATTTATATGTAACAGTTTTTTATTGATTTTTCTTCGGAAATTTGCTTGAATCTCAATCCAATGTTTTTATCATGTTTAATGAAGAAGGTATTCTGGCAAACATTCGAGAGTATAAATAACAATTCCCGAGTGTACCTTCTCTGTTTATGAGATACTATTTTTTCAACTTCATTAGTACGTATATTTCACCAGAAACGTCAGTTTTACACCTTCTGAATTTCAGAAAGCGTTGATTATTTTCCAGGATAGACATTTGGATTTCAGAAAGCCTCGAGTTTGGATCAAATCGTATCCGACAAACGTATTTTGAATGAAAAATCACACTTAACCCATTGGCGCCGGAATTATTTTTTCTGATATTTTATGACCATTAACTAATGTGAAATACTTTGGAAAGACGAGAAAAGTTTAAAGAATCATAAATGGAATTCAGGTCTTCCAAAAATCTGCTGTTTCCATATGGCAACACTAGGCGCTTGTGACACATGTTTTGGAATATTTACACAAATACCTTCATTACATTTTGAACACAGTCATTGTCAAAATCCAGCTATTTTGCATGGCTATATCTAATATCCAAGTGATTATGGGCCTGTACGAATAATTTCTATGCGGTAATAACTAATATTTTGATCCATTTGATCAGTTTCGCCCATATACAGATAGTATCACTTGATTACTTTCAAAGACAACGCATACAACCTGGTTCCTTCTGACAATTGCTGAATAACTTCGTCGCTTCCCGCTCAGTCATCCAATTATTTGACCCATCACATATTGGAATGGAAGTATTAGCAGAATTCCGAAGAGAAGATTGCCCGGCCAATGGTTCAACATCCATTGGTTCGGATGGAGAGTCACCACATTCGCTGAGTATAAGCGCCTAGCGTTGCCAGATGGCAACACGAATATTTGATGCAAATTTTCTACAAAAAAAAACATTCCTGCAATTTTTTTCAATATGTCAAATATATAACTTGGAGCATCTGCAACATAATTATGGAAACAAAAATCGCAAAATCAAATGCGTGAAAGAAGGATGATACGTACACGAACGTGATGTCCATGTTTCAGGTCAGTTCAAAAAAACTCAAAGGTTCACAAATTCACGTTGCCGAACCAGCTCACTCACAACGAAGAACTGGCGACATGTGCATAACCTGTTCTTTTGCGAATCATGTGAGCTGTCTCCCACCCTGATAGCTAAAAATTTGAGTGTGGGAATTATTTGAATCTATCTGACTAGCGTTGCCATATGGCAACGCACGGCGCTAATGGGTTAATAGGTTTGTTCTAGTTGGAAAAATAAACAGTCTCGAACCATCAGGAGCATGCGCAGTTTTACAGAAGTGTTGGTATTTTTCATAATCGGTGGAACAACCTCATGTGTTGGGCGCCATATTATGTTAACTGATATCATATCACAAAGAATGTTATATTGAGTGAGATAGGAAGGTACAAGCTAACCCTGTACACGTAAAGAATCATAGAAGCACACAACGACAAATCATTTGACTTTTGAGCGATGTGTATGAAAATGCCTTACCTGATTTCACTTCAATTCGTACAACTACCAAAGGAAGAGAATAAAACAACATACACTGAAGATCATTTCAATTTATTCATGGGTAAATAGGAGAAAACATCAATTGAACAAGAAATTAACCATATTTTCGACGTCATTGTCAGATTTATTGTATTTTCATCAAATCAAAAATTTTTGAAATGTTGAGTATTGATAATGAGAGCAAGAACAACTTCTTGGACCCTTCGTGTTTCAAAATAATTATGAAATTGATGACATTGACAAAGGACAATTTATTCGAGAAAGGACGACCAATTTGACACTAATTGCTGCTAACAAATAGCACAAAATGTCTGACCCTGACAAAGTGAAATATGGTCAATTCAAACTTACACAATGAAAAAAAAAGTCAAAAGTTGTTAAATAGGATGTACTGTACTGTAGGTACTGTAGTTCGTTAGGTATTCAACTGTTTTTTAGTTGAACAGGTCGTGTTTTTCTCTGTCATTGTTGTTCGGAACGATGTTATGTGCTTGTTTTTGTACACGAAACTTCAACGTCTAGTCCTTAAGTCCTATGTCTAGTTTCTGTCCAATCTAAAGAAAGGAAAATATCCGTTATCTACGAATTCGCTTTAAAATGGAAATTGAAACTCTATAATCAGAATTTTATTATACACTATCAAAAATTAACCAATATACTGACACCATTTTTATATTTTTTGTAGTAGTAGTATAAGTGATTGTTGTTATTTGGTTCGATGACCATTGAGAATATGACATCAGCGCCTCTTAAGGATTTTTTATGAGCAAGAACCTTATTAATATGATCAGGTGACAACGAATAAGTCTATGTACCGCTTTCAGAATCTGTCTGGCATTCGTTCGGTGCCTGTCAAGAAATTGTCGAACGTATTCACGAATGCCACCTCTGCAGATGTTCATGTACTGCACTATAAGTCAGTATCAATCACACTATTCATGTGTAGTAAAAGCTGGCATATCAACACTATTTTTTACTCGATTCCCGATAAACACAAAATATTAAAGGCGATCAAACGCCCTCAATCCGCTATCACTGCACACTGGACTAGCACGTGACAGTTGCAGGTGGTTGGCTCACACTCCCGAAGTATTCCGAGACTGTTAGGTGACGTTTCATCGCAGGTTTAAGATTAAATGAATTCACTCGGATTGCTCTGTAATGTTTCAGATATTTTCTCAGATTGCAGACTCATCCTTACATAGATCACCTTGTTCATTAATCCGCAGTGCCGAACAATGTTGAGAAAGTTAAATAAATCATTGATATTGAAATGTCAAAATAGTTTAATGTGCTTCTGCTTCTCGAGAACGGCCTAACCTTACTTTTAATTTCTACAGGATGGGATTAATCTTGAATTCAGTCGCCTGTAGATACGAAAACGTTTAAATTATGGCAAATTTACGGAAACGTTTGAATTATGGACAATTTTCAGATAGAAAATATCCGATAGGACTTTTCCTTTTTGGAATATTCGAAAATGATAAAACGGAGCAATGGCTTGTAGCGTTGCTATCAGTCTCGCTGTTTAAAAAATGCTGAATGTGAAATTGTGAACTTTTTGATGGAATAATTTGATAAACAACCGTTTTTCCACTTTTCCAAATGTTAGCTCGCCTATAGGCGCGCGTGACGTCACTTACCGACCTCGTTGACATTGTTTACATGTAAATGTTGGCGAATTAGCTGTGTTCTGGCAATGATTGTTTCCATTATTACAACAAACTATGGTGTTCTGGTAGTTTTGAAGGGTTAAATGTTTGTTCAGGATGGGCAAATTACATATGAAATAGAGGAAATCCAAACAGGCAAACTTTAGAGTGATATGGTGGATCCTGGATTATACCTATTAGTGTTTTCTTTTGTAAGGTGAGGGTTATTCATTTAACTGGACCAATAAAAGAATCACCACAAAACTAACAAATTCTCAGTCACTTATGGCTTCGAAAGTATATTGAGTTACCTTCATCATGACAGATACTCTGAGTGCATTAGTTCATTCGCGACTTCTATAGCATCCATCTTCTGGAAAAATTCGGAGAAGTCCATAGTTGTTTTCCTCTCGTTATCTACCATTTTCGATCATTTTATGAACTATTGTGGTAATGACTTTGAGTTTATCTCTATTCAACTGCTAAATCTCATAACTAAGAGATCTAGGATGAACAGAGTTGCCCCAATTGTCAGCAGGAGCGAGACAGTACTGTTTCGACCCAACAGGTCTCATCAGCCGCTCTCGGTCTGCTGACAACTGGGACAACTCTACGCTTCGGGTATATAACCCATTTCGAAGACGCAGGGTATAACATGAAGTTGTATTCATGTTGTAGCCATCTTGTGGCAAAGCTCTAAGGTAGGATACAGAGATCGCGACACACACTGTATGGCGCTGCCATCTATAGTCACACGTACAGACCCCTACGTCTATACGCTACAGAGTGGTACTACAAGTAAACCACTCTGCTGAGAGCGGCTGATGAGACCTGGTGGGTCGAAACAGTACTGTCTCGCTCCTGCTGACAATTGGGGCAACTCTGTTCATCCTAGATCTCTTAGTTATGAGATTTAGCAGTTGAATAGGTGGTGGAAAAATTCCACTCAAGTATGTCAGGTATTGCCATGTGTCAGCAGAGTGGTTTACTTGTAGTACCACTCTGTAGCGTATAGACGTAGGGGTCTGTACGTGTGACTTTAGATGGCAGCGCCATACAGTGTGTGTCGCGATCTCTGTATCCTACCATAGAGCTTTGCCACAAGATGGCTACAACATGACTACAACTTCATGTTATACCCTGCGTGTATCTCTATTTGTGACCATTGCATTCCACTTTTGCGTATTTGGCTTTTTCCTAGTTGAAATTATGCCAGTCGGGCAACCAGCCACTCCCATTTCACTTGAAATTAAATCTTGTTTTGGAGTGTTTCTTTACTTGCCAGGTGGCGTTCGGCGTTCGCGTTCATTTCGCGGACGTTGAACGCCTCGTGGGGTATAAATGCTGAGATGCGTTTACGTTGGGTCAGGTTCGCACCAGATAGCGGTCAAGAAGCTATCTGGGACAGCCCTGTACTGATGAGAGCCAACAGCTCGAAACCGGTCTGTAGGAAGTCACGCGTTCCTGAACTACTTAGACGCAGCTCGGCGTTTAGGAAGGAAACACTTGCGATTTTATTCGTCTATACGAATTATTGCATAGATGCATAGATTTCGGGAGGATGTAATCCAGTGTTCTGCGTGGCATATAGCCAGGAAAGTAGTTGTTTTCCTCTCGTTATCTAGCATTTCCGTTCACTTTATGAACTAATGTGGTAATGACTTTGAGTTTATCTCTATTTGTGATTCAGATAAATACTTACCGAATATCGGTTATTTTACTCACCTACTAATTAATTCGACCTATCGTCCAACCTGGCTCTTTTTCCAGGCCTCTCTTCAGCTTCGATCACCTTCAGTCGTATACCCATAACATCTGCACCATTCAAGGTCTAAAAATATTTGTTTCGATTCAAAGCAATGCAAAGTTAGAACTCACAATTATCCTATCATTATTATTTTACTCTTATCTAAGGAAGGTTTCATCCTTTACTGCGCATAATGAAAAAAAAAATTATACAGGGTGTTCCAAAATTGTGATGACAAAAGCCCAGCATAGACTCCTCTCAACAAGATATGAAAAAAAGTTCAAATGAACATGCGTCCGAAAATGCTTCGTTTCCAAGTTTAGGAAAAAAGTGAGCTTCTTTTAGTAATATCATGAAAACGCTTGAGCCGATTTGAATGAAATTTGTATGGTTCATTTACACAATCATCAGACATTCACTGGACAAATTAGATTTGATCCAGAATTTCCGGGGGCGTACTCATCGAGCAGATAGAAGAAAAAAGGCACCCTGTGCTTTTTTTCGGGTTCATCTCTTTCATACACCGGTGTCACTAACCTAGGTCAATGAGATACAATTCGAAATATATTTGTAACTAATATTTAATGAAAATCTGTATATTTTACTTGATTAATAAATGAATAAATAATTAATTATCCGAAAACGTATTGCACATTTTTATTTATGGAGACAAAAAAGAGATAAAATTCAATACCTAGAGAAGGTATATACAGGGTATATCACGACGAGTTTACACTATATCTATATCGAGAATCAGTCGGGAGAAATCCATGAAAATATGCATGCCTATATTTTAGAATACGCTCTCATTTAAAATATTTTCAGCAATGCAGTGTTGCCGCTTCTATCAATTTGTTACTTCAAATTGAATACCCTGTATTTTATTGCATTTTTAGATTCTCCCAGAAGAGCTGATTTCATCGATGCATCAAACTTGGGGTCTATCGGAAATGATTACAGAGTTCAAAATTTAGATTTTTCAACTTTAGGATTTGTTTGTGTCGAAACTATATCAACTTTTGATTGACTATTTACTGATATTTAATCGGAACAGATACAGGGTGATCAGAAATCGAAATTCTGAATCTTGAAGCAGAATCTTGGAAAAGTAGATCAAAAGTTTAGATTGGGACATGTGAGTCGTTTTGACCGATAATGAATAGTTTCGACACAAAAAATCTTAAAAGATGGAAAATCTCGATTTTGAACACTATAATCTCTGTAATCTTTTTCGATAGACCCAAAGTGTGATATATCGATAAAATCAGCTCTTCAGGGAGAATTGAAAAACGCGATGAAATTCAGGGTGTTCCTTTGAAATATCAATGTTACTACCACTTTCTAGTAGAAGCGGCAACACTGCATTGTTTACTTGATATACAGGGTGGGTCACGGTTTCCGAAAATGTTAGAATACCCAACTTATTTCCGATTTATTGTGTTATTATAACTTTTACAACAGCCAATTTCAAAGATCGCTCCAATTTTGGAAACACCCAGTAGAACAATTTGCCCTATACGATCTTGACAGTTCCATAAGATTTATTAGCAGTTTTAACAACCTTTATTGAAATTAAATTGCTACTTGGACGAAACAACAACTAAGAACGGCTGTCGGCGTGATCTGGAGTATCAATAGATATCGTGAATTAAAAATGTAATGTATGCGTATTATAACACGATCAAATAGATAAACTAAATCTCAACAGACCAACGAAAACTGCAAAATGATTGCTTTTCGCTAGCGGAAGATATTGACGATCAAAGTTGGAAAAAGGATTGATGACAGCCGTTCTTAGTTGTTCACCCGGTACTATTATAATTTCTAAGAGCTTTTCCTTTATAAAGGAAGATCGTATTACCTGTATGGCATCATCAGCGGAAAATTTTGATGCGTAACACGCATAACCGCAATTTCTGTTGCTCAACAAATACACGTCAATCAGATTTCCGAATCGGCAAAAGACATCTTTGAGCACTCTGTTGGACAGAGCACTTTCCTGGCAGACGATGAAGCATCTGAAATAAGGTATCCAGATGATCACATCTAGAGTCACTGGATTGTATTAGTTAGATTAGAGTTCGGACACAGTTGAACTTCTGTCCTTTTCTATTTTCTATATTACAATGGTTTGAGTGAATAAAAGAATAAGAGATATATTCTGCTCTTTGTCTTTTCAACTTTTCCTAGTAGCGCCTGATTGTCAGATACGATTTTAGAGGTTAGATTTTATGTCAAATCAATCATAACCGTAGACGGAAAATAGAAACACCCACTTCAATTTATAGTGATACACTTAACGCGGAACAGCAGTTATAAAAATGGAAAGTATGCAGGTAACAACATTTTAATATGACAATACAGACATATATGGATATATTTATGGCTAGTTCCTTATATTGTATGTAGAACCGGAAACGGATATTTAAATCTTGAAAATGGGCCTAAAATATAGTTTCATTATGATCCGCTGTTATATGAAGTGAATTTTAATGTACTTACCTCATAAAATAGAAAGAGTTCAGAAACGTTTTTTGCGTTATATTGGTTTCAAGCTCGGTATTCCTATGGAGGAATTTGATTATGACAATATTTTAAATCGCCTAAACATAAAAAGCCTAGAAGAGCGTAGAAGCAACAATGACATCATCACTATTCAAAAATTATGTAATAATCAGATTGATTGTCCTGAATTATTGGCCTCACTAAAATTTCATGTTCCTCAAAAACGATTACGTTATAGCAGCACATTCAATTTAGAAACTCATAGAACTATATATGCATACAATAACCCGATAAACAGGATGATGACGCTGAGTAACAGAGTGAACTGGGACATTTTTAACACTGGCACTGAAAGAGCCAAACGCATTCTTGCAATAATGTAATGTTTTTATTTTTAATGTTCATTGTATTTAAAGTGTAGATATGTATAAATCAATCAATGTTCTGTGATATTTTGTATAGGCTATATATATTCATGTTTTTTTTTACACTGGGTTCACCCGTTAATAAATAAATAAATAAATAAATTTTGTTTGTCTTCAAATTAATTTCCATCTAGGCCATTTCATACTTTCCTTCCATAAGAAAATGATTAATATTTCCTTTGGAAAATTAAATAATTGAAATCCATTCTCTTCAGATTTCCCACAATTGATTACACAGCAGGACATTTTCATTTATGCTTTTTTGTCTTTTTTGTCAATAGTCTATGAAATAATATTTCAATTCTGACGTTCATAAAATGTATTGTCAAAATCAAACAATTTTGAATGAAATAGCGCGGGAAGATTATGGTGCTCTTGTCACAATGCACGGAGTGTAACTTAATAAATCTCAACATTCAAAAACACTAAAAGTTTCAATTTCTGTGTCCAAATTCTCATCTAACAATACCATTCAGTGACTCTAATCACATCCACATATTGAAGTTGCTAGTGATCATATCTGAGCAACCCGAAAATGTAGGGTTAATTGCTCATTTGAAAACGCTTCTGCTTAATGAGCAGTGCGCAGGAACCCTCAAGCTGTCGTTCATGACTTTGAAGTGGTATAGAAATCAAGCAGGAGTTCAAGATGACAAATTCTAAATACAACACGTCCACATCTTCCTTCAACCGTTTTCCTTCCATTATTTCTCATTTTTTGTGATACCATGATACCAACATGATATTTTTGTTGAAACAAGGAAAGGAATAGAAGATATATTCTTATCTCTCTCAATGCTATGTGAATTTCTTTCTCTATTGATATAGTTATTTATTATACAAGGGAAAAAAGTAGCAGATTTTAGCTCCAGGTTGTGTTGTCTCCCGACGCGTAGCGGAGGGAGACAAAAAACCGTGAGCTAAAATCTAATATTTTTCCCGTGTATAATACACTATTTTTTTCTGTGACAGAAGGAAGGACGAATCAATATTGAGAAGATATTATATTATTTTGAAATCTGAAAGTTATCGACGGGAAATTTCAAGTTTTTAACAGTAGGGACACCTGCGTTGTAGGCATCTTTATCATTCTTTTGAAGTAATCAAATATCTGATGTCACTTCTGTCAATCTGATTCTGTGATTTGATTTCGAAAAATTGCGAATTTAGTGGTTGTTTAGTAATATACGTAACCGCGAAGTCGAATGGAAGATAAAAGGACTTGCAGTTCTTTCTCGGAGACGGTATTATTGACTCATTTTTCGGAACTATAGCACAACAAAAGCCATCAACAGTGTATATATATGTGATATATGTCCGGGAAAAAAGTGCTCACTTTTTTCCCACAGGAAAAAAAGTAATTTATGAAGTGACATTTTATGAGCCAAAAAACCGTGAGCTAAAATCTAATATTTTTCCCGTGTATAATAAATACACTATTTTTTTCTGTAACAGGAGGAAGGACGAATCAATATTGAGAAGATATTACATTATTTTGAAATCTGAAAATTATCGACGTGAAATTTTAAGTTTTTAACAGTAGGGACACCTGCGTTGTAGGCATCTTTATCATTCTTTTGAAGTAATCAAATATCTGATGTCACTTCTGTCAGTCTAATTCTGTGATTTGATTTTGAAAAATTGAGAATTTGATAGTTGTTTAGTAATATACGTAACCGCAAAGTCCAATGGAAGATAAAAGGACTTGCAGTTCTTTCTCGGAGAAGGTATTATTGACTCATTTTTCGGAACTATAGCACAACAAAAGCCATCAACAGTGTATATATATGTGATATATATCCGGGAAAAAAGTACTCACTTTTTTCCCACGGGAAAGAAGTAATTTATGAAAAGTGACATTTTATAACCTGCCAACAGAGATGAAATGCCAAACTTTTTCCCGTCACAGAAAAAAACATTTTTACATCAGAAAAACAAAAAATAATGACTGAAAAAACGATTGATAGCTACAGATAATGAACAATAATTCGGCTTCGACTTATCTGAAGGAGAAAAGAATAAATACATGAACATATTATTTACCTCGCCTCAGTATCAGCATCAGCACTAGCCATAGGCTGTGATGGTGGTAGCTCAACACTGCAATATGGTTCATCATGCTTCGTATCTGTCGTGAACCCCAATTTCTTCTGCAATAAATCTAGAAAAGATGAACTGCTGTCACATTTTATCAATTTATTTATTATTTTTTTAGCAGTACACCAATTCAACAGCAGAGGCCTACTACAGAATGGGAAAATAACATGTTTTGTTCCAAATCTGTATGGAAATTGTATCAAAAAACAAACCAGAGAAGGAAATATGCATAGAAAAATAAAATAACACACTGCTTAACGATGTGCATGAACTGAAAAAACTACGGTGAGAAAAAAGTTCATACACAGCGCTACAAACAGCGTTAAAACAACAACAATAAAAAAATACATAAACTGGGCGTCAATTGAAACGTTAATAGTAGTAGAACGAATTTTGAATTGCCGCCCAGATTCTGAATGCCTTTCTCATCGTCTTCCGAACCATTCCTTACAGCTTCTTCTAAATTGATCAGGACCCGTGATACAGGGTGAAACAAAGTTTCGTGAATTTTGAAGAAAATTTCTCCGCCCCCCCATTTTGTCGGAAGACCACGATGCTCATATTTCATTCGGGCATTTCATAAATAGCAACCATACCTCGGGACATTTTCGAGTTTTTGCCAAAAAGGACCCCGCACATTTAGTACGTAAAATGGCTTTCGGCTAAATTTTCTGAAAATTTGATATGTTTAAGACATTATCGTCCTTATCACACAGTCCAATTTACAGATCGATCCTATGACCAGTTTTCGAGCTACAGGGTGTCAAACATTAGATTTTGGCTGTTTAGAATATTTTGCATCTATTTGAATTATGTGCTCTAAGTCGTGATTATTCTTCAGTAGGAATGAACTCTTCACGTCTAATATCTACCTCATGAATCCCTCTATTCGGTTAGAGGATAATATCACATACAGAGTATTGCATTCCATCATGACAAGGTAATATTCTTGGGAAAAGACAAATATTGAAAACATCAGAATTTTGATTTTTACTCAATCACCGAATACTTGAAAACAAACGGCTAGAATCGGCCAATTATTTGACACAGTATGGGTCTTGATCATCAACATGAGGATTCATATGATTACCTCTGATACCATGTCCAATTGGCCATATATAGGGTGATGACAATTTGAAAGCTTATAGAATTGATGTAACTCAGGTACAAAATGAGATACATTTCTATAATATATGAAGTGGAAAATGAAATGTCTCATGAAATAACCCACTCCCACCAAGCCACTGATGAGTCACAACCACCCCAACGCATATCATCTCAATAGTAGCCCCTACTTATTGTGATACCTCATTGAATAGCTTGGTGAAAATACATTTCAGTGGTATTATTCATATCTCGAACTGGGTGAACTGATAAAAAATATTCATCACCTATATCATTCTGCTGGGGTGACGTATCAATTCCGTAACTTTTTGTAGTATGGGAAAAAATCGTTATTATCGAGCATTATATAAATAACCATAAAAGTGAAATTGCTTATGTGAACAGTTGGCTAGTGAAGCGAGAGGAAACTAAAATCTACAGAATGTTCTAGTAACCTAACCTAACCTAACCTAACCTGAGCTGGTCAGACGGTAAGGACACAGCTCCATTCAATCCAGCAGAACATCTCCAAGATAGAAGTTGTAAAACTGTGACATGTCCGCTATGTTTGAATTCTCAAGAGAATTTGCATTTTGATGATTGTCAAAAGCTGCTGATAGATATTTTTCACATTGTGGCTCACATTCTGGCGAGATGGTCGTATTGAGACAAGTTGTCAGATACCATAATATTACATCAAGCATTGCTATAGATGAACTGATAGGCACAAGCCATGAATGATAGTACATAATGGGTCGCACTGTTGATGGCGATTTCCGAAAATATTGTTGCTTGGGTCTTCGCTGGAATTCAGCAGAGATCGTTCACTATCCAGATCTGCTTGAAGACTATATATATTTCATCCATGCGGTTATTTTTGCATATTGTTATGTGCATTACAAAACACTCATTGAACTATATAGACAATAATTATTCGAAACCTCTCCAATCAACATAAATCCGCCAAAGATGTTTGGATGATATTCGAGAATTGGCTAATTGAAATATTACCTATACCTAGTCAAATTGTTCAACATAATTTTGATCTTATGAAAACATAATCATTTAGGTACTCACCTGGACTAAACATTCTGTTCATCGCCGTGTTCTCTCGCTACACCGATCTACTATACACAAATACTTGTTTCAAATCATCTGAATATAACTATTTCAGCAATATGTCTCTATAGTGCTCGATATTAACGATTCATTTTTTAAAAGTTATGAAATTAATACGTCACCCCAGCAGAATGATATAGGTACCTAATGAATATTTTTTGTTAGTTCACCCAGTTCGAGATATCAATAATAATACCACTGGAATGTATTTTCACCAAGCTATTCAATGAGGTATCACAATAAGTAGGGGCTACTATTGAGATGATATGCGTTGGGGTGGTTGTGACTCATCAGGGGCTTGGTGGGGGTGGGTTATTTCATGAGACATTTCATTTTCCACTTCATATATTATAGAAATGTATCTCATTTTGTACCTGAGTTACATCAATTCTATAAGCTTTCAAATTGTCATCACCCTATATATGGCCAATTGGACATGGTATCAGAGGTTTTCATATGAATCCTCATGTTGATGATCAAGACCCATACTGTGTCAAATAATTGACCGATTCTAGCCGTTTGTTTTCAAGTTTTCAGTGATTGAGTAAAAATCAAAATTCTGATGTTTTCAATATTTGTCTTTTCCCAAGAATATTACCTTGTCATGATGGAATGCAATACTCTGTATGTGATATTATCCTCTAACCGAATAGAGGGATTCATGAGGTAGATATTAGACGTGAAGAGTTCATTCCTTCTGAAGAATAGTCACGACTTAGAGCACATAATTCAAATTGATGCAAAATATTCTAAACAGCCAAAATCTAATGTTTGACACCCTGTAGCTCGAAAACTGGTCATAGGATCGATCTGTAAATTGGACTGTGTGATAAGGACGATAATGTCTTAAACATATCAAATTTTCAGAAAATTTAGCCGAAAGCCATTTTACGTACTAAATGTACGGGGTCCTTACTGTGGTTTCCGAAAAAAATTTTTTTTTAAATGGACTGATTACCTGTATCCTCAAAACGATGAATCAGCCTATTTATTGTCATGACTGACTCATTGAAAATTGTACTTTAATGAGTTTGGGTATATCCTAATCGTCGTAGCCTGAAATAATAATCATCTGTACTGAATTATAGTTTATATCACTAAAGTGATCTTACCTAATGATTTTCCATTTCGACCCGATTTGAACGAGGCATCTTTAAATTTTTTAGGACCCGAATTACACTGACGTTTTCATGAAAATTGGCAATTGATATAACCTCTATGCATATCTACATTGTTTCAACAATACGTTGTTATAGAAACAAGGTATCGTTGTTTGTTTTTGTTGATGAGATGTGTTGATTTACTGCTCACTAAGGTAGAAAACTTTATCATAGACAGCAAAGTAATAAATTATTGATTGTTTTTGAGTAACCTGGTATACATATCTGCTCCAACGCTTTCCTGAAATGCATAATAGCATCCATTTATGGAACTCCTCTAAAATTAATCCATTTAAAAAAATACAAAAAAAATGTTTTTTCGGAAACCACAGTAGTTTTTGGCAAAAACTCGAAAACGTCCCGAGGTATGGTTGCTATTCATGAAATGCATGAATAAAATATGACCATCGTAGTCTTCCGACAAAATGGGGGGGGGGGGGGCGAAGAAATTTTTTTCAAAATGCACGAAACTTTGTTTCACCTTGTATCACGGGTCCTGATCAACTCAGAAGGAGCTGCAAGGAATGGTTCGAAAGACGATGAAAAAGGCATTCAGAATCTGGGCGGCAATTCAAAATTCGTTCAATATTTCAGAAATTACGAGAAGTCAAACTTGATGCCAAATTTCACTATTAACGTTTCAATTGACGCCCAGTTTATTATGGTAGAGTAACCTTGTAATTCTGAATTGACAAGTAATCACGACATATGGGTTGCGTGCAAGAACTGTCAGATGACCGACACTGGAGGCAAAACATTGAATCACAACGTCACTTTTCTTATTTGTTTACAAGTGATCGAAATAGTTTTTCACAATTATTTTGGCATACGAATCGTATTTTTCCGCTATTCATCAATTCGCTCCTGCCATCACATTATGCTGTTGTGAAATGCACAAAAACTACAGCGGAAGACGAAGTAATCCGGTTGGTACATTATGATTAAAAGTAAGTACCCACTATAGTCACTCACATATAGTTTTCATTTTTGAAATTTGGTAATTTCTCTGATTTCTCATCGGAATTCCTTCTGCGATAGGAGCTAATAGAAATACACCTGAAATTTCTAAAACAATGCAAGAAGATTGGATTCATGTAATCAATCCGGAGGACTGGTCTGACATGCTGACGATCGTGTGTGTTGTAGACATTTTGAATCTATTAGCAGTATTAGCTTGTATTGCAGAAGTGGCAGAAGGCAGAAGGAATTTTAATAGGGAATGACAACATTTCATAATGATAACTATGTGAGATTACTATTTACCTGAAAAATCATATTCTTAGTCTCTTGCTGCATTTTTTTGTGCATTGAACAACAGCACAATGCGAAGGCATGCTCGAATTAATAAATACCGCAAAAAACACGATTCGTATGCCAAAATATTGTGAAAAACTATTTCGATCCTTTGATTCCTCTGTAACCAAATAAAAAAGTGAGGTTGTGTATCAATAATTCACAGAAGAATGAGGTTGTGTTTCAATATTTTGCCTCCAGGGTCGGTCATTGTGCACGGGACCTATTTTATACAGAGGCGAGAAAAGAAGAACATTTGTTTAGGCGACTGGTAGGTAAAACGTGGTGAAACAACGTAGAGGTATCCTGGGAACGTACAAATTAATACGTGCAAACAGGTATGGGCAGTCAATACGCGAGATTAAGATCTTGCATGAAAATAAAATGCCCAAATATGTACGACGTTTGTCTATGGCTAGGGAATTGAATTGAAATCAAGAAAGAGGTAACCTTTCATACTATCGATGCAATTGCATCAAAATATAAATATATACAATATTAGACTGCATGAATATGCAGTGTCATATATCAATGAAAAACTAGCAAGAAAACATGTTAAAATATTCATTAAAATAAGTAAATGAACATATATACAAACAACAATTTTTTAATAATGGTATTAATTGGTATTTATTGAGGCACGTCAGCATGATATTCCTGCAGGCTATAGTATGCTTTTTCGAGAAGCAGATGTTTAACTGATCTTCTGAATATTTTATAATCTAGAATATTCTTAGTGGAATGTGGTAGGTGATTGAACATTTTTTTCCCTTCATACATATTGGAGTGTTTTGTTAAATTCAGTTTGTGTATTGGCAGGTGAATATCACAGATTTGTCTCTGTTTGGTATTGTAAGGTTTATCCTCTTCAGGTGAATTAGTAACATATCTTTTATGAATCAGGCATACCACTTTGAGAATTAAGATGCTCACTACAGCTGTATAAAATGATGTTTACAACTATCTCTATAGTTAGCCCTACACAAGGATCTCTTCTGCAGCACAAGGACCTGATTGAGGAGTTTTTGGCTACAAAATCCCCAAAATGCAATGCCATATCGTGAATGAGACTCAACGAGGGCTGTGAATATGTCGAGTTCATTAGCGACAATTCTGACAACAAAAGATCCAGAAGCTATTTTCTTACATAATGATGTGATATGTTCATTGAACTCCAACTTATTGCCAATATGCAAGCCGAGAAACTTAGTACAAAAGGTTTCTTTTATATTGATACCATTTAGTAGCAAGTTATCATAACTGAATTTGAAATTAACAATTTTTGTTTTATCCACATTAAAGCAAAGGCAGTTTGAATTACACCATTCTTGTACCTTTAATAAATCTCTGTGAACCACTTTTTTCAAGATTTCAGAATTTTTGCAATGCCATAATAATGTGGTGTCGTCTGTAGAAATTGTGAAGGATCCTTCAATATCCTTCAATAGAGTCCGCACACTTCGTGATTCTCGCGAATAGTAGATCTGCATTTCTTATTTTTCATTCCATACTCTCTATTCCTCTACATTGTGTCACAACTGTCCTAGAACTCACCTGGCGACAGCCCCGCCGCCTGAATCAGCGACGACGCGTGCGCAATCGTATCGGCGATCTGCCGCAGGTCCGCCCCGCCCCCTTCCACCGAGAGGGCGGGCCGCTTGCCGTACGCCCCGCCCTCCCGTTGCTCCGCCCGCACGATCAGCCGGTTGCCGGGCGGGTACTCGAAGCCGTGCAGCTTCTGCTTGGCGTGCGCCGCCCATCGGGGATCGGAGTAGACGACCTCGCCGATGGCGCGGGTGGGGCGCGGGCTGCCACGCTCGCCCTCGTATCGCATCGTGCAGTACTCCATCGCTGGAATTTCGAGTGGCCATGAAACATTATTATTTTTCATATGGATATACAACCATGGCAGTAGCTAAGGGGAGGGGCAATGCCCAACCTCGAAATTTAACTACCCTACCTTAAAATGAAAAGAAAATAATCAAAATTCAAGTCAAGTTCACAACATCTATGCTGGAAATCAAGTAATGTGAAGTTGACGCCGTATTTTTCGAATAACTAATTTTTTGGGTCCTGAGAAGATTTGATAGCCTTCTAGAGTTCCTGACGGAAATTTTGAATGGTATATATATTCTATAAAAGTTCTTATATATTTTTTGTTGTATTATAAAGCATTCTGGAGTTCTGTATCTATTTCATCAATAGAAGTTCTGGTGAATTAATTAAGTTAAGTTGAAAAGTAGTTCTGGCGTTTTTTGTTGTCGTATTAGAACTACGCAAATTATTGAATAATTCAAGGAGATAGAATACGAAAATGCATGCTTCTATAGGCTGCATTTCTTGAAAAAAAAACTTGCCGGTTTTCTTTCGTATTGAATGAAAATCATACGAAAATACAATACAATAACTCTAGAACTCTACCAACTCTACTCAGAACTCTCGAGGAAATTGAAGTTCTCAAAAAAACGGCGGTAACTTCACATGAGTAATGCAATACATGTATGTCAATTTCCGGATTTTTCTCTTCTAGAACAAAAATTCGTGTGCGAAGGCGTTGAGCACATCTAATAAATGATAGCGACTAGGAACGACGTCAAACAACTTGCGATCACGCTCAGCGTGGTGTACCCCTCGTCTTGGCACCTGTCGTTGTCATTGCTTCATTAAATATCGTTATATTTGAATATAGTCTCATACTTTCAGCTACCCCTAAACTATTCGCGATAGAAAATGACACGCTGCCCCACCTGACGGCAACAACTTGAACACTTCTCAGCGGTTTGTTTTGTTTATGTGACCAATAAGCATAAACAAAAACAAAGTAAACAGGCCGCTTTGACAGCTTTCAAGAACTCCGATATGTGGCGTACGCTTATTTCCTATGGCGAATTAGTGCCTATTTAAATATTACCTCTCGCAAACTACTATTAAGCCAAGCAAACCCCTTATAAATCGATATGGTGGAGAAACCCTCTATTTTATCCAATGAACTCAATCTAAACAACTGGAAGGGAGCCTCTGTGAACGACGAGTGAGGCAAATATATTGTTTAGGCAACCCGCAGTGTTTACGGATACCTATCTCTCTCTATCTTATGTTCGCTAATGGAAAGCGCTCGCATTATTTGAAATATTTTCTCGTTTTTTGCTTTTATTTAAGAGTAAACGTGATTAAATCAAAATATCCATATAGGAAAAAGGATAATGTTGCAATCAATTATCATTAAAAAATTATTTTTGATTTTTTTATTGACTTGAAAATGAAATTTCAGTTTTATTCTTACAGGATTAGGAAGTCAAATGAACACAAAATTGAAATTATATATTTTCATTCAAATGTCACAATATATTGTACAGGGTGAGCGAAGCACAATGTCTTAGCACTATCAGAAGAAAAAGAAAAACGATAGGAAAAATTTGAAAAGAGGTTCTTGAATGGTATTGACTACCTAAGATCCATTTTGAGCATAATAATTTCCATAGGTTCCAATTGTACCATTAGGTCACTGCCTACAAACATATCCCTATTAGAAATTAAAAAAAATACAATTCTCAATACAATATCCTTCTCTAATGGAACAGTTTGGGTTTCTTTATTGATGAACTTTGAAACTTGGGAGCTGGAAGTCATAGGAAAAGTCCATAATATGAGAAACATCTTCCTTAGTACCCAATGTTATGAACTTCCACAGATGCATCCTGAAAATAAAAATTACTAGCAAGTTTTTTAGTTTAATGATATGCAAATATACTTTTTTTTTCATTATTAATCAACTAGGTACCTAAGAGTTTTTTATTTTCCTTCAAGGATCAGTATTTTTTGGTAACAAATGCTTAGGAAATGGAAATATACTGTGTACAGCATCTGCTTACAATAACCTAGCAGTACCTGGTATGTCTAAATAAATAATCAGTTGGCAGGAAATGCTCTCCACAAAGCTTGCTGGTTTTAGATGGAGTCCAACTCTCTCTATGAACTGCCTTAATCCATAATTCAAGAATGTCTGAATGGAAAACTGCAACAAATAATATTACTCAATATGTTTATGGAAAAGTCATGGAAGTATTTAACTTTGACAAATAATATAGTTATTGTTTTTGAACACATTCTGAGACTGGGAACATTGTACACCTAACTGATGATCATTTCAAGAACTATATTTTCAAAAAATCTGAACAATATTCAACTTACCCATGGAATGACAATTTCCTTTTGTCTTGCTCGTTCTTGCATCCAAAGGCGACACAATAAATCACCATTTGTTTATCAAAACCTTCTCAACAATCAGTTCACAGTGTTCACACCAACAAATTCAGTCCTTTTTATAAAACAAAACACGCCAAATGAATAGATATTTCACATGAACAAAGACAATGAACTTATGTCTTCACTTTCTTGCCTGTTCAGATGGGAGAAAATATTCTAAAGTACTTTAATTATTAGATAAACGTAAACACCAATCCACCATTAAACGACATGAGTAGGAAAGAGACAGGTTACCGTAAATCATGCTATCTTTGTTGCCGTCTCCCTTCCAGGTGTTTATATTTATTTATTTATTTATTTCAACAAATAGGTTTTACCCCTATTACATGTTGTGTGTGTATGAATGGTTGATTGAAATAGTACTTTATTTTCTGCATCAATCACAGTAATGATACTGTTTTTCCAAAAAATACAGTACTAGTCCAGACAACCTGACTTGAATCTAACTTCAATCTAATAATATATACAAAGTATTAACCAAATAAGAATAATTACTGAATTAGTACAGTTCCACTATTTTGTGATGATTTATTTTTGATTCGATTTCCAAATGTAATTACACTATCTCGAAATATGTCACAGTACGTTTGATTTTCGTTATAGAATATAGTCATATTTACATGTGGAGATTTCAGTTGGTAATTCGTCCGAGATGTAATCACTGCAAATGTTTTGTTATTACTTGCCTGAGTTCTTGAGTTTGGTATTTGTAACTTTACAGATGGAAGAGTAGTACAGTCTTGCGCCATATTGTTGTATATTTTGTATAGATACATCAGGGTGAAGTACACTCTTCTATTGAATAAGGACATTAAATTATGTTTATTGAGATTTGAGGGATAATTTGATATATGGACACTTTGTATAATAAAATCTGCTTGTCTAATGAACTTTTTCTGAACTGTTTCAAGCATTTGTATATACTTCGTATATAAAGGAGACCAAACTATACTGCAATAGTCTAATTTTGCCGGAACAAAACTGTTGTAAAGAACTTTAAGCGTTTTTTCTGACTTGAATTTTCTGGAATTCCGAATAACAAAGCCAAGATTTCTATAGGATGTTCGTGTTATACTTGTTATATGGTCACTGAATGATAATTTTTGGTCAAAAATGATGCCCAAGTCTTTCACAGAATGTTCTGAAACTAAATCAATTGTGTTCATCTTATAGTTGAATTCAATGGTTTGTTTTTTGTAGCTAAATGTAATTACTTTACATTTTTGGACATTGAAAGGTAAATGATTTGTATGCGACCATTGAAAGACATTATCTAAATCTTCTTGCAACTTCATAGCATCTTCCAAGTTATCAATTTTTGAAAATAGTTTCATATCATCTGCAAGAAGTAAGACCCTACAGTGTTTAATGCAACTGGTGATGTCATTGATGAATATTAAAAACAACAGTGGACCTAGCGTACTCCCTTGTGGAACTCCAGAAGTTGCTATGTACTGCTGTGAATCATAATTTTGTACAGTAACATATTGCTCCCTGTTTTTCAAGTATGATGCTATGAAATTACAGAAGGTATTACTAAGAGAAAATGATTGAAGTTTATGAATCAAAATGGCATGATCTACCTTATCAAACGCTTTCGAGAAATCAGTATAAATGGTATCAACCTGGCTACCACCTGCCAAAGAGTTTGTTGTATAATTTACAAAATCTAGTAAATTTCCTGTTGTTGTTGAGTTCATTGATTTTATCGTGACAAAACTCACTTGGAACGACGTCGAACAACTTCCACATCTGGTCCTGATTGACCGACGCGTTAGCGATCACGCTCAGCGTGGTGTACCCCTCGTCACGGCACCTGTCGGGCGGCGACAGAGACCGCCTCCGCTCGTATCGGTCGCCCGCCCTACCACGGCCGCCCTCGCTTGCCCGGCCGTAACTGCCCTCGCCGCGGTACGACGGCGGCGAGGACATCAAGGGCGGCTTTGATGACGTTGTTTCCTTGGTGCTTTTGCGCGGTTCGGCGAAGACGGGGCGGAATTTTTTGTCGCAGTTTTCGAAAGCGTTCGCCGCATCCGAGAACCTTAAATGATGAATGAATGAAATCTTTATTAGTAGGATATATCCTATTATACAGGGTGATCCACGGTGGATGGCTTATTAGAAGTATCTGGAGAACGAAGAGACAGAACATTCTGAAAATTGGGCTGCTTTGAAAATTGAACATTCTCTATCCGCCTAAAATATTTTCATCGATACAGTGTTGCCACTTCTATCAGAAACAACTAGCAAATTTGTTCCTGAAGAGCAGATTTCATCAATGTTTCACACGTGGGGTCTAGCAGAAATGATTACAGAGATATAGGGTGTTAAAAATCAAGATTTTTCAATTTTAGGATCTTTTTGTGTCGAAACTTTTCAATATCGATCAAAACGGCTAACATGTCCCTATCTCAACTTTTGATTCACTATCTACTGGAAATTAATTTTGATGGAATCATCTCTTCAGGAAGAATAAAAAAATGCAATAAAATACAGGGTGCTCCATTTAAAAATCGAAGTTGCTAGTTGTTTCTGATAGAAGTGGCAACACTGTATCGATAAAAATATTTTGGACGGATAGAGAATGTTAAATTATCAAAGCAGCCCAATTTTCAGAATGTTCTGTCTCTTCGTTCTCCAGATACTTCTAATAAGCCATCCACCGTGGATCACGGTGAAAAAATGTTTGAAGAAATATAGATATACTGAAAAAATATCGAATTTTTACTCATCTTTGGACGTTTCAAATCAAGAAGAATGAATGTACCACCTCCTCGATTAACCTACAGACAGTATTTATTATCTATTTGATTTGTTTTATTCAGTTAATTTGATCACTTATTTTCCGTACTAGAATTATTATCCGCCTTTGTCAGTATAACTTTTGAAAAAAAAAATTGTGAATAAAACTTTACATGTTCGACTATACCACCAGAAAATCACCAGTTTGGTGGTTTTTTGGTGTTTTTTAGGAGGCCATTTTGCGAATTTTGGAAATCTGAGTTGGCAACACTGCTTGAGAACTGTGGATAAGACAGTACCATAAATTGAGAATTAGTCTGTAGAATATGTGAAATTTACTTCAAGAATTTGACGTAGGCGAATCCTTTGCTTTCTTTTGTAACCCTGTCTCTGATTATATGAGCATAATCGATTCCACCAAAATCCTTGAAACTGTCATATAATTCTGAATCGCTCATATTTTTCGACACTACAACAAATAGTCTCTGTAATTTTTCCTCCTCGTTCTCCTCTCTTTTTGAGCCCTGATCACGGCTGAAAAGAAATCTCATTAGATACAAGGAAGTTTTAATGTTGCACATTGTAGATACCTAGAAGCCACCATGATTTTCATAGCTCTTCCAGTACCTAGTAGTACTTTGCCTCCCATGCTTTCCATTGCTCTTGCAGCCTCAGAAGTTTTTGAAAATTTTATATAATACACTCCTGAAAAAATAAAAGCAATTTCCATCAAACATGTTCTAATACAATATTAATGATATTGAAAACACCATTAAATAGTGACATTGCCCGGTCGGACCGGAACCAATCTTGGGAATACCAAACAGTCTGGCAATGTCCTCCATAGAGGGACAGCTGCAAAAGCAATTCCTCAAAATATGGCAGGACACACCAGGAATGAGACAATCGGAGCCCACATAAAGGAACCTTCAAAGAGGCTCGCAAAAGAGGTTGTATCCCTCAACAGGCGAGACCTCAAAATGGTAGTGGGGCTCCTGACGGGGCACAACCACCTCAATAGGCACCTAGAGCTTATTGGGATCTGTTACGTCTTCAATGGATAAACATGATATTTTATATTTCTGAAGACAGTGATTGAACATAACTCCTCGCACTAGGTCGCCTACTAGGTTTTCATTTAGATCAACAATGATTGAACAGTTGTTTTATTTAGTGAACAATTGACAATGACATCATGTACCCCTAAATAAGGATCACTGAATCTATGAAGTGGCTGGGTGTTAAACTTGCTCGCTAGATGGTCTCTGTTCACTTGGTTGAATTACGACTTCAATGGATAAAAATGATATTTTATTTTCCTGAAGACAGTGATTGAAAAGTTATTTTATTTATTGAACAATTGACAATGACATCATGTACCACTAAACAAGGATCACTGAATCTACGGAGTTGATACAGGATGTATGAATGTTCTGCCAATAGGATCAAAGATGATTCCCTTTGCAGATGGTGCCTGGAAGATGACGAAACGTCATCGCATGTCGTCACTGTGTGCCCAGCACTGACACATCAGAGGAGGGCTGTCCTTGGCAACATAATTTTGAGGCCAGAGGACGTTAAAGAGATTCAGCTGAGGAAGCTGCTGACCTTCTTCAAGGAAGTCGGCATACCCAGCTAAATGTCAGAAAATTTGGGCGCCCAATGGGCCCGAATACGTGCAGGGGTGTTCACCCGCCCACCAGTGCTTCGAAGAAGAACCTCTGCGGCAAATAGTTTCCGAGATACAGCCGGCGTTCTTCCTTAGTGGTACACCCGGTATAATTGATGAATTCGCGAGATTCACGAAGTGGGCGACATCTAGGTTACATAATACGAACTTCAAACTGGGGGAAAACAAACTGTTGTCTATGGATAAAGTGCATGGACTACATTGCATTCAGCTTGCTGTAGCTGTAGTCAACCTTATCAATGACATAAAGTGTTGGCACTGTTGGTAGTGATGATGATTGAGTTGGTTAATTTTTTTACATTATTACATTTTTATTAGTTTAGTGACCAGTGAACGGGTGAAGAATTGGAGATAAATCAAACAATTCAAACTAATTATGACGAGCAAATCAAGAACAGCTACAACATGTTTACAATACCCAAATTGTCCTGCTTTGCAAGAACAAATACAAATTCATTGTTCTACAGGAGTTCCTCTGGACCCCAACTTCAATTTTACTTCATGTGGGGAAGATTTCATCGCCGAAGTTTGTAGACAAAGTGCAAAAATGTGCCTTTTGTTGAAGTCTTCTGCCTCACATAAAATCACATGATTAGCACGGAGAACTGCTTCTCCTTTCACTACTGGTCGGCTTTTTCCGTCTAAATAGAGCAAAATATCTGCCAAAAGGACATCTACAACAGGCATTATTAGCGTTTTCGATAGAATATTGACAATTAATGTCAAAAAATTTAAAAACTTATCACTCTCATCAGTACACAGTACACAAGCTAATGGCACTAATGGAATTGAGTGAGGATTGAGTTTGTTTTCCCCAGTTTTGACGTGGCTTTGACATGGAACGATGAAAACCGAGCGCCACCTGGTAACATTGATTCCCGCGAATAAAGGGAACATTCATAGATAGAGGGGTAGGTAAAGTCTATCCAAAGTCAGTTGGAGTATTTGTCAGTAGTACAATGAATTGATGTTTATCATACATGGCGTGGCAAAAATGTTGGAATTGAAAAAACCCAATCTGTGAATGTTTGCCACGTGCACGGAATTCAAATGAACTTCAAAAGAAGCGTTGCGTACCATTATGTCTTTTCTCGAGGTGCTCCAACTGACTTTGGATTGACCTTGATAAGAAACCTAGTAGATTAGAACCTGTAAAACAGGCTCAAGCAATGATATTGTCGTTTTGGGATTGCCCCCTATACCATCCCATCAAGCATCATATTATGATATATCTATACTAATCTATACTAATATTATAAAGAGAAAAGATTTGATTGTTTGTTTGCTTGTATTGAATAGACTGCAAAACTACTGGACCAATTTGAAAATAGTAGATTGTTTTATTAGGATCAAAAGTGACACTTAGTTTGACTAAGCGAATTTTGCATTTGCGAGGCAAAGCGTTTAGCGAAGCCGAGCGAAAGCAAAATTTGCGATTCGAACAAAGTCACTTTTGATCCGAATGAATGTGAAGTAACCACCAATGCCGTGCCATATGTATGCAATGCAACAAATATTGACAAATAATCAATGTGGTGAGAATATTCTACCTGCATAAACAGCAGGTTAGGTTTTCTAGGATGTTCGAATTGTAGTTTCAATATAAATACAACCACAGAGTGACATATTTGTGTGTGGACCAGGTGCTCTAATGGCAAATACCGCGACAGTGTCAGCTATAGGAACAAGACGTGGAAAATGTTAGGTTAGTTAGCATATCAACAATAGTGATTATTTATTCCTCTATATAATACACTGTGTTTGACTTGATAATCAAATGAAGCTAAACAATATCTTTGTTTGAGACAAAAAAACTATTGCTTGTCGTGATTATTCAAAAACAAGTTATCCATCCCGAGAATAACGAATGAAATACAGATCAAGCAAGTATTTGAATCTTGAAGGCTTCCCTGATCAAAACAAAAATACTTACCTGAGATGTTTATAATTCCAATACTAAAATATAATAAGGTGTATTTATATCTCCAGCATGGGTATTAAATGCCAAATCTGCTGAAGTCGGAAACAAATCAGGTATGCGTCTCAACCCAAATAACCAACCGTCACAATGCTGTTTATTCTTGATGACGTCCAGTAGGTCCTTTTTAGTTCCTAGGAGCTAAAGTTGAACTTTAGCTCCTAGGAACTAAAATTCAACTTCAGCTCCTAGGAACTAAATATGTTGCCTAGCAACATACCTATTTTTGTGTCAGTAATAGAAACGTCAATTTAAGAGCTAATTTTGGTATTAAAATGGACGACTTTTGTGTCGGTTGCAGAAAAATTCTTTTACCATTAGAAGCCGACATTATCCCTGATGAACATAGACTACTTCTTACTGCCGAAAAATGCTTCATTTCTTCGGGAAAACAGGTAATAAGATAACGGGTAGTAAGAATTATCCTTTCCTGGATGATTTAAAAATACAATAGGCGAGTGGACAATTTTTTTTATTTCTTAAATAGAATTATCACTCTAAATACCTTTCAATTTCATTTGTTTCAAGAATTTTTCGGTCGATTTTTAGGTGCTAAAATCATCAATAATGCCGCGGTAATTTTCAAATGACTAGAAATTTATCGCCAGTAAAAACTGACGCCACTATTTCATAAGTACAAGACTATTGCACAGTTGCCATGTGTTGAAATACGATTGGGAACTTCAGAAATAATAGTTATTCAATAATTCATAAATTCTCAACCAAGTATAGGTAATATTCCCAATTAGCAATAAAAATTCAATTGCATGTCTCAATATCTTCCCTTATGATTTTTGGTTTATTGCTTATAATAAATTTGTGTAAATATTAGTTATTTTATTTCACACCAGAGGGCATTTGAGTCCGTGAACGTGACAACAGCGCACGAGCTGTGGGCGTGGTCTTGTCAGTTCTGACCATTCAGCACAATGTTGCAAAGTCTCCAACATTTACATAATATTTTGTTATGGATAATGAGGAATATTTCAACATATTGGGTGCTCAAAAAAGTCAAGAATGAACTATAATATCATGGGTTGGGTTCCTCCTATTATGTTTTATTCAAGGACAGGACTCCAACATATCTTTGATGACTTGATTAGAATTGGTGACCTGACAACCTTGCTCCATGAGTGGAAATGGAAGATTATCTGACTAATAACTAAACAGCATAAAAACTGACGGCACCATTTATTCGACGTATCGCCAAATGGCGGCCAAGACGATTCGTTTGAAATGAGCTCTAAAATTCAACAATTTTGAACAATGCATGAGAATAATTCATTATCAGTTCACTCGCCCATTGGACGCTGTAGGTGGCGCTGCTGTCGGTACCTCAACCACAAAACGGCTTTACCGATTATATTGAAATTTTTAATACATGAAACAACAAAGAAAATACAAAATAAAAGGAGAGAAAATAGGAGTAAATAATATTAGCTATAGGTAAGAACAATGTTTAAAAAATAACAAGAAAATATGTACTGTAGAAATGCACATAGCTAAGAAAAAAACTGGATCTTGGTACACCAAACCATTTTGATGAACCTAATTTGGAGATAAATCAAGAAATTTAACATTTTTAACTGGATTCATTTTTTTTAGCATTACACCTGTCCACATGAGTTCATTAGACTGGATCAGAATAGTCATGGCACACAGATGGAAATTCAAAAATGAAATTAAAATAAACATTTAATTTTGAGATGTCACTTGAGTGGTATTATTGGAATCAGAAAATAATGCAGAATTTGAAAATGCAATGATATACAGGGTGTTATATATAAAAATCAAAAGTTATTACCACTTCTGGTGAAACTGGAAGTGAAAAATAAACATATTTATATGAAAATATTATGTTTATCAAGTTGATTGGTCATTCCAAATCATTTATCTCTAAAACTAAAAGAGAAAAAGGGGGTGTATGATCATCCTGTTACACCTGGTATATAATGTCAACATTTAGATATATTGACTGAGTTTAACCAGTCAAATACTTTATGGTCAATTATGCTGAAATTGATTGTTTCCAACCCTATGCATACTTGATACAGTAAAATCAGAAGAAAAAAACGTGTGTTAAACCATTTATTGAAACAAATCATTTTTTTCCTGAATTTTCAAAATTTAAATTAGTAATTGTGTTTCCTTAACTGCTGTCATGAAAAAATGTGTAGTGTTAATAACTTTCTATTTCTTATGGAGTGCATAGAAAATAATCTCCAGTGACTCCTTATTTATCTACTCTTGGAAGATGTTTGTCATGGTATTCTTCCCAAAAATTCAGGGGTATCACTTCAATGGGTCAAGAACAAAAAAAAGGTTGGAAGTATCACACATTGATATTTACCATATAAGGGGGGGGAGGGGAAGAAAATTCATTATAAATTATATTATTCATCTGATTTGAAAGAGAATGTCAATTCTCAATTTCAGAGGATTTTATTCTCATGTTTATGTTTGACATTGCAAATAGCCAGGAAAGTAGTTGTTTTCTGTTGAATATTCAGAATATCATGTGCATGTATATTTTTATCTGAAAGAGAATGCAATTTCTCAACTTCAGAAGATTATATTTTCAGATTCTTATTGTATGTGTTCAATTAATATAATGAATTCAATGTTCCTCATGGCATATAGCCAGGAAAGTAGTTGTTTTGAATGTGAATTCTCAATGTATTTCTTTATATAAACCTTGTTTTAACATTCATAATATATCTGAGAACATTCCTTTTCAAAACAAAAAAAAAATACAAATACCTATTTTTTGTGATGAATTCTCATTTATTTTTCACAGTTATTTTCCTTCCCAGTGACATGATTGACATGCTGTTTCACAAAAATAGCAGAACTTAGGATCATGCCTTGAAACCTGCATTATTCTAAATTCAGGTCTAATTTAAGCTTGAGTTCAAGTCCTCAATGAATGAGGCTATGGCATAAATTCATCATCAACATGATGCAAGTAATCTTAATGAACATTCACAGACATTACTGTTGAAATTATAAAATGGTACTAAACAGTATACTCTCAGTCTCACCATAGATTGAAACTTAATAGGTATTTACCTACTGTAGCAATTTCTAACCAAACCACAGGATGGTAGCACAGTATAAACTTTTTGGAAGGGTGTATACTGTGATCCTAGGTGTTTTATAGTTGTTTTGGTTTGAATGACAGAACTCATCAAGTATTATATTATACAAGTATAAAATAACATTAATTTCACTCAACCACCAATGATGCAATTTTCTAATATTGTAGTCAAATACTCCAGTTACAACATTGATAATGAAGCTTCACCTTTATTTTCTCCTGTGGCCCTGTCTGTGACAGCTCTAACTTCCTCAAGATGCCCAAACTCACTGAATGCTTTCCTGAAATCTTCTTCCTTCAGGGCCTTTGGGGCAATAATAAATAATCGTGAATTTGGTGGATTATCTGAAGGAGGAAGAGATCCACCAGAATATCTGCGGTCACTGGACATTATAAATGTATGTTGGGACCTATATTAAAAATTTATATTGTTATATGGAATTTAATTAAAAGTGAGTGTGATGAAATTATATGTTTTTTACCTGTTTCCAGCCTATTCTCAGCTATCCTTTTTCACCTTTTATTATTATGAATTCAACAAATACCCGGATTTGCAGTTGCCCAATGAAATGAGCAGTTATTTTGAATCTCTGAAATATAATATATGCGAGAATATATGGTTTTTCTATAAGAAAGTTCTACTCTCAGAGCTTGGCTCAGAGTATCATCAAATTATATAAAAGGCTTAGCACAATCCAAACACCAAATCATCAAAATCTAATAATCAAATTAATCAAAAATACAAAAGTGAAACGTTCACAACACAAGTTCACAATTTTCACCTTATGATCTAAGATTTTCTGATTGGCGAGTTTGGTTTGACTTTGACAATCGCACGAATTCTATATAGCCTTGATTCAATACTACCTGAATTGGTCCATCTAGAGACAGGACATAATGATGGAAATAAATAGAGTAAATAGATGGTGTACTTACTGATGCACTTATGTTTCAGAAATTCTTTTCGACCTCCCGAGAGGCCCGTGAACAATGTTTTTAGCTGTTTTCGGATAGATGGCGACATTGCACAATTATGACATCGGTCAATTATTGAATTGCCACTGATTTTTCGAATTCAGAGTTGAATAATCCCACTGTTACATAATATGTTCTGCGTACCAAAAATGCCATTTGCCATTATATTTCTGCTCGTCACAGCAGCAATATCAGCATCAGCATCTAGCGGAGGAATGTAGAATCAACGTCTTGCTCGATGTGACGTAGAGGAATCATAGTAGGCGGTCGAGTGATTTTTCAATACGTAAAAATGGCCGACTACGCGCACCATCTACTTATTTCCATCATTCAGGACATCATTGAAATAGCGAATCACTATCGGCCCCAACTGTAAATGCGTCCACAGTATTATTTTCTATTATTCACATTGGAGAAAGAAAAATAGTTGGTGGGATATGTGATTCGAACCAGGGACCTTCGGCTTAACGAACTCGCATCCGTTGCTCCGTTTCTTCCGTCAGTCCAATGTCGGCTAAATGAAAAAAGAATCTAGTCAGCTCTGGAGAGGGCCAAAGCTGACTAGATTCTTTTCTCATTCAGCCATTGATGAAATAAACCTCTGGTGTACGCACTTCAATCCTTTCCTGTTTTACAATTCCTTGATTTTCGCCTCCTTCGATGAACATAACATGGCGTGGGTGAATGTCGCTAAATTTAGTCTGGTGCCTTACCAAAATTACAGGCATCAATGTGACAATTGTGACCAATGAAGACAGGGAATACATTTTGCGATCTAGCCGCATCAAGGTTGGTAGAACTGATGTTGATCATAAGTTCTAAGAATCACGCCATCTAACATTCGATATGTGAACCCCACGTCATCGTCTGGAATTCAATTGTTTATATCAAGAACCAGTCTGACGAAACAAATGAAGAGTGAGCGCACCAGAGGTTTATTTCATCAATATTCAGCCGACATTGGTCAGTCATTCAAATATCGTTTCTGCATGATAAGGGATCGACTGCTTTTGACCTAACTCAACCTGAATGAACCTTTCTCCTGAAAAGTATATTATTTCTCGAAAATTAGGAAAAGATGAAAACAGATTGTAAGTATGATGATGGAAAATATCGTTTCTGCATGGAAAAAGTGACTTGGTTCAACCGAACTCGTCCCAAATGATCCTTTTTCTGAAAAGTATATTTTTCGAAAAATTGTGAAAAAAAATGACGCCTCGCAGAGATTTGAATGCGAGCCATACCACTGAGCTATCGAGCTACTCGAAAGTTCTAACTATGAAAAAAGAAGGAATATCGTGTGTTGACTGATTCATCACAAGCAGCACAGCAGCATGCTACTTATAATTGAATTACTATTGCGAGAGACATTTATTTAACTTCAGGCTCCTCAGTTAGGCTCTCGTCTGAATCATTGAACTCAATGTTATATTGACTTCATTGGCTGAATAGACGAACGATATCGCGGGATTGGCTCGTGGACATACCGGTGGACAGACCAGACCTTAGATCATATTGTTGGGAACCAGACCCATAGAAATAGTGTTTATTATTATTTCTATGACCAGACCGGACTGAGAGCGGTGAAATGACTTCAATGATGAATTGAAGAATTTCTGACGCACTATACTACACACTTCAGTAGAAAATACAGGTTGTTTGAAATAAAAAATCGAATTTTGAGTGTGCCAAGTGTGTTTAAGATTGTATAACGAGTATCGGATTTCTCAAAGTTTTCGAATATTTTAATATTGATATACATTTCCATCCGAAGGTTGTCTTGAATATCCTGCGTTTGTTTGCGGACTGTGGTGCGAGGAGTTCATCAGTTTGATGTTGGAAGGATGCTTCTTCTCAGTGACGCCACCAATCAAAACTTTATGCGCCTGCAATATCAAACCCAAAATTAGGAAGGTATCTACTAGAGTGGATGTATAGAAGAGTGCGTACTTATTAGTGAATGGAGCTGGATATCATTCGATCATATTAATCATTTATGTGATTCAATTCAACTTTAAACTAAGAACTTTTTGTTTTTTATAGGTTTTAATTGAAATGTTTATAAGTCTCTAGGCATCTTAGTTTTAATATACTTATTTAACTATTGTGTATTGTTATTCGAGTCTGCTGAGGTTTATACATACAAAATTGTATCGATACGGGATCACCACCGAGCCTCCCTGCTTCCCCCTCTTCTTCTTACTCTTGTCCTCCTCTCCTCCCGTCGCTGCCGCCCTCTCCTCCCTCTCGGGTGTCAGGTCACGTGTGTTGCGCAACCTGCGCCACGTTTCGACCCCGAGAGTCTCCGGTTGCAAGAAAACGTCCTCAGTGTCCGGAAACACCTCCGTCGATTGGTTGTAGGAGGACGAGAGGACCAGGTCGAGTTGGTCACGAGGAATGAGATCACTGAAAAATATTCCACAATATATGCACTCTATGGAAATTTTATATAAAAATCGAAACATTTAATGGTCTAATATACGAATTCCGGAAGCGCAGATGTACCACGGATATTTTGTTCTCATTATCGATGGAAATTTCGACTTTTATATATCGAAATTTCTACTTTCATTTGGTACCCGAGAGTCTTCGGTTGCAGGAAATTGTTCTCCGTGTCCGTAAACACTTCTGTTGATTGGTTTCAGGAGGACGAGAGGACCAGGTCGAGTTTTGGTCACCAGAATATGTATATCACGAGGAATGAGATCACTGAAAAATATTCGGCCATCATAAACTCTGAAAATTTGATACAGAAAACGAAAAACTGAAGCGTCTTATATACAAATTACGGAAGCGTAGAAGTGCCACGGGTTTTTTGTTTTTATTGATGATAGATATTCCGACTTTTATATATCGAAATTTCAACTTTCATTTCGACCCCGAGAGTCTCTGGTTGCAGCAAAACGTCCTCCGTGTCCGGAAAAACCTCCTTGTGGAGGATGAGATCACATCACTGAAAGATATATCACCAACATACTGAAACGGAAGCGTAGAAGTGCTTCGTTTTTATTCTTGTTTCTTCAGTTTTTTTTATGTTCTGGTTCCCACGAAAAGGGATATCCTGTAATGTTCAGAGGACATCGTGAGAACCAAGGGCAATGAGGTAGGAATTGGTGTACTTCTTAAATTTATGGAGGTATATGCCTCGGGGAACACCTCCCTTGACAATGTCTTCCAGAGCCTCGCTGTTCGTTGGATGAACGAGTCTTTGAAAAGAGATGTTCTGCAGGTCTCCAAAGTGACTTTTATCTGACCATTCCGACTTTTATCTCAAAATGTCGTCATTTATCTCGGAACATTTTTATCACATAATGTTGCCATTCATCTCAAAATGTTGTCTTCCATCTTGAAATTTCGACTTCTTCATCACCAAATTTTGGGTTGTATCTTGAAAATTCGACCTTTGTCTCGGAAATCTTCCATATTCATCTCGATATTCCTACTTTTATGGTCGAAATTCTGATTGTTATCTCCTAATTTCGCCTATATTCCCAGAATTTCGTCTATTATCTCGAAATTTTTATTTTTATCTCAAAATTTCGTCATTTATCTCGAAACTGCGACTTTTTTATCCCAGAATTCCATCTTTTATTTCGAAATTTCGACTATTATGACGAAATTCCGATTTATATCACAAAATCTCGCCTTTCATCTCAAAATTTCTTCTTGAAATTTCGGCTTTTATCCTAGAATTTCGTCTATTATCTCAAAATTTTGACTTTTATCTCGAAATTTCGTCATTTATTTCGGAACTTCGACTTTTTTATCCAAAATATATCACAAAATGTAGCCTTTCATTTCAAAATTTCGTCTTTTATCTTGAAATTTTGACTTTTTCATCAGGAAATTTTGGCTTTTATCTTGAAATTTCGACTTTTCTCGGAAATATTTCTTTTATCTCGGTATTTCAACTTTTATGTCAAAATTTCGATTTGTATCTACTACTTTCGCCTTTTATCCCAGAATTTCGTCTACCATCTCGATTCAGAAATTCAAAATTCTATTTCAAAATTTCGACTTATTGCCGAAATTTTTAATTTTACCTCGAAATTTTGACCCCTTTCTCTCCTAGAAACGAGGTTAACCATTTTTTGATACAATCTTCATCAATCTTTTCAATTATCGCACACTGTAACTGTATAATAGTACCTATATATACAGGGTGGGTCACGGTCGATGGCACCTTAGATGTTTACGGAGAACGGGACATAAGATCATTCTGAAAATTTGGTTACTTAAGTAATTGCTCTTGTTCTATCGATCTAAAATATTTTCAGCTCTGCGGCGTTGCCGCTTCTATCGAAAAGTAGCAACAACTTTGTTATTTTAAATAGAACACCCTGTATTTTATCGCATTTTCAGATTCTCTCTGAAGCGCTGATTTCATCGATGTATCACACTTGGGGTCTAGCGGAAATGATTACAGAGATATAGGGTGTGAAAAATCGACATTTTTCAAGTTTAGGAATTTTTTTTGTCGAAACTATTCATTATTGGTCAAAACGGCTCACATGTCCCTATCCCAACTTTTGATCAACTATCTACTGACATTTAATTGAAACAAATACAGGGTGGTGTAGAATTCAGATTCTTGATCACCCGGTATATGTCCCAAGAAGAATTTTCAGAATGATCTTATGTCCCGTTCTCCGTAAACGTCTAAGGTGCAATCGACCGTGACCCACCCTGTATACTGTTATTTCCACTGCCATCATTATGTACCTATGCTATTTGGAACTGGTCAATCAAAAAATTCACACTCCAACTATAGTCAACAATAAAAACAATTATTGACGTCAGATTCCATCCCCTCTGGAAGTATAGGGTGTCCCAGGTTTAAGTCAACTTTTCAACATAAATGAAGAAACTATTTCATGTTTATTTTTTAGTTTTATCTTTGTCGATATACGATGTAACGGAATATGTTGAATTTTTCTATTTTCAATTTTCAACTTCATATTGAAATAAGAACTATCGTTTCAAACTAGGTGAGCATGTTATCTTTGAAGCTACCGGATTCTCCAGCAAGCCGAACACAAGTCTCGGTTATTTCCGACTCACCCGAATGGTTTGAAGAGCGCGAACCGCCGAGCGCTGGCCAACGTGTGGTGGTCGTGCATCCTGCGGTAGGCAGGCGCGCCCCCACACGGCGCGTCCCTGCTCCGCTCGCCCCTAATCAGAGGCTCCACGAACACCCCCTCGCCGCCCAGGTGGGGGATGCAGCCCCTGTTCCGGATGCGCGTCGTCATCTCACTGAATTCAACTCGACTCGGGTGAGTAGGGTGGTTGCGTTTTCGGGGGGATCACGCGATAGCATCGACGGGATGTCATTGAATCGTTATCGATGTCATATGATGTCATGGCACAGCTTGTCAACAAGATCGGTATTATACAGGGTGTAACTATATAAGTGTAAAACATTTAAGTGGGTGATTCCTCATCGAGAAAAGATTGGAGCTTTCATATAAAGAAACTTCATTGGAGCTGAAGGGGGTTCATAAAATTTGTTTAACAATTTTTATTTCTGACAGTGACATTATAAGCTTATATCGTCATAGTTACGATATCTATAATGATGGTCATAACTCCCTTGGGATGTTATAGATGCTATAATTCCCTCTAGCTAAAATTAAATAAGAAATGCATAGCAACAACCACGCAATAACGTAGCAATAAGGAATCTCCTATTCGCGGTAGTCAAGATCATCATCTGACGTTCTGATGACATTGAAACTATACGGAAAAACATGTCTAACTTCCAATCGGGAAGGTATCTAATGAATGAAATCAGTCAGAAATAAAATTATCTATGTATCACGGGAATTATAGAGCCTTAATAACCTCTGGCAAACTTTGCCATCGGTAATTAAGGCCCTCATAATTCCCTTAATACATAAATAACTATTTTCACACGCACTAAAAAAGTTACAATATTGAAATTAACCTGACATTTTCTTTCATTGTTCGAATGTAATGTCAGTGGGTCAACTGTCCTTTGTTTAGTATGGAATATCAGAAAATTTGTTTTACTGAGGTTTAGATATAGCTGGTTTGCCGAGAACCATGTGTAGGTACATCTTCGTAAGCAGTGAATTGCATTCATGTTCATTCTGACAGTTGTATTCGTGTGAGATCAAGAAGAAGGAGTCATCAGCGTAGAGAGTGATCATATGTCCTGGCATCGAGTGATTGATCCCGATAAAAGATCATTGATATGGAGTAGGAAGAAATTTGTTGTCAAAATGAATCCTTGGGGAACGCAATAATTGGTGGCTTTGGTAGCAGACGATACTCCGTCCACCACCAAATGTAGCGATCTGTAGAAGACATAGCTGATGTGCTGAGCCATATGATGACAGTTTGTGGAATAAGAGGAGATTATGAATTCTCGGGAATACTTCCTCATAATTCCAAAGCTTTGTCGTCATTTAGTTTATTCAGTTTAATATCGAACAGTCAAGAAAGTTCTCCCTTCTCCCTTGTAAAATATTCTCGAAAATATAGACCCTGCATAGTCACTGACACTGAACTAGGGGGTAACAGGGGATTGAAAGGGGATGGGTGAGAGGGAGATCTCTATGAGGGATCACGCGATAACATCGGCAAAATGTCGTCAAATAGTAATTGATGTCATGAAGAGACGTCGGAGTCGAATTGGCATTCACAAAGTGATTATTCGTCTGGGAATAATGAGGGGTTTTTCAATAGGAGTGATATTTTGTCGATACCTGGATAATTATTGGAGTGTCAAAACATTGGCTACCTACACATAATTTGTAGTTTCAATATGCAGCGGTTAATGCTATACCATAGCAGATATCTTCAAAGTGTGTCGGGTTATGATATATATTATAACTGGTGTCCCAGATATTTTAGGCCAGCAGATATTTTAGGCCAGCAGATATTTTAGGCCAGCAGATATTTTAGGCCAGCAGATATAATTATAATGGGAGAGAAAGCTCTCGAAGACAATGAAATCAGATCACCCTCATATCAAGCAAACCACCCCTGGTTTTTGAAATTGCACACCCATTCATGTTTTTCATGTTCATTTTATAGAACTTTTCATGCTCAATTCAGTGATATATCGAAACTAGATATTTAGCAAATGCTTCATTCTCGGAAATTTTGAATAATTTCAATAATTTTTATGGGGAGATATTGATTTATCGATCACTTGCTACACTTACCATATATCGCCTATTCAGACTTCGTGTATAGCTCAGATTTTTCAAGGAATGAATGGGTGTAACATTATAACAAGCCTGCAAAATCATCAACACTACCTAACCCAGAAGGCGCCAACCTCCGTTGCAGTAAGGATTCCCAGGTGCCGAGTTGATACTCTCCCCTCGTGAGAGTATCTGTCGTACCTCCACTGAGACATTATGGTGACTATCGTAAAATTTTGTATGATAATATATCGCCTTCCATAATTTCAGAAGTGTGATCTCAATGACTGGAAAAATGGTGTATTTCACTCCCTTCGAATATCGAGATCAAATCTCCTGAAAAGTTATCTCTATGATTGGAAAAATGGTGTACTTAACTCTCATCAAATATCGATAGCAAAACTCCTTTTCGAATCGGTTGCAAACCATACGACATGGTGTTGGACAGTTCTCATGTTCTGTTTTGTTCTGATCGCCTGTCTACTGATCTAATTCCCCTAATCTGTGACAAGTGCCAAACATTGTTCTTCTCTGATATATATATTATGGCGGAGTGCAACTCTGAAACAAAAAATGTGATCAAAAAAAGGAAATTGATTGACATATCAAATGCTATTTTGAACAATTTTTGAATGAAATGCGACATATTCTTGTAGTTCATGAAAGGAATAATGAGACAGATAGGCAACAATTTTCTCCTTATGAAAGCCACTGTATATACCTAACCCAGCTGGCGCCAACCTCCGTTGCAGAGAGGATTTACAGACGCCGAGTTGATACTCTCCCCTCGTAAGGGTACCTGTCGTGTCTCCACTGAGACATAAAGATGACTATCTTGAGATTTTGTGTGATAATATATCGCCTTCCATAATTTCAGAATGGTGATATCAATGATTGGAAAAATGATGTACTTAACTCTCATCGAATATCAGGATCGAAACTCCTGTTCGAATCGGCGACATGGTGTCGGACAGTACTCATGTTCTGTTTTGTTCTGATCGCCTGTCTACTGATCTGATTCCCCTAATCTGTGACAAGTGCCAAACATTGTTCTTCTCTGATATGTTACGCCGGAGTGCAACTCTGAAACAAAAAGATGTGATCAAAAAAAGGAAATTGATTGACATATCAAATGCTATTTTGAACAATTCTTGAATGAAATGCGACATATTCTTGTAGTTCATGAAAGAAATAATGAGACAGATAGGCAACAATTTTCTCCTTATGAAAGACACTGTATATACCTAACCCAGCAGGCGCCAACCTCCGTTGCAGAGAGGATTTACAGACGCCGAGTTGATACTCTCCCCTCGTAAGGGTACCTGTCGTGTCTCCACTGAGACATAAAGATGACTATCTTGAGATTTTGTGTGATAATATATCGCCTTCCATAATTTCAGAATGGTGATATAAATGATTGGAAAAATGGTGTACTTAACTCTCATCGAATATCGGGATCAAAACTCCTGTTCGAATCGGTTGCGATCCATACGACATGGTGTTGGACAGTTCTCATGTTCTGTTTTGTTCTGATCGCCTGTCTACTGATCTGATTCCTCTTATCTGTCACAAGTGCCAAACATTGTTCTTCTCTGTTATGTTACGCCGGAGTGCAACTCTGAAACAAAAAGATTTGATCAAAAAAATTAAAGTGATTGAAATATCAAATGCTATTTTAAACAATTCTTGAATGAAATGCGACATATTCATAAATAATGAGAAAGATAGGCAACAATTCTCTCCTTATGAAAGACACTGTATATACCTAACCCAGCAGGCGCCAACCTCCGTTGCAGAGAGGATTTACAGACGCAGAGTTGATACTCTCCCCTCGTAAGGGTACCTGTCGTGTCTCCACTGAGACATAAAGATGACTATCTTGAGATTTTGTGTGATAATATATCGCCTTCCATAATTTCCGAATGGTGATATAAATGATTGGAAAAATGGTGTACTCAACTCTCCTGTTCTAACCGGTTGCGATCGATACGACATGGTGTCGGGCAGTACTCATATACTGTTATGTTCAGATCGCCTGTCTACTGATCTGATTCTCTCAATTTGTGACAATAGCCAAACATTGTTCTTCTCTGATATGTTACGCCGGAGTTCAACTCTGAAACAAAATATGTGAATAAAAAGAAGGAATTGATTGAAATATATCTGAATGGTATCTTCTGCAATTCTTGAATGAAATGCGACATATTCTTGTAGTTCATATAAGGAAAAGACACTGTATATACCTAACCCAGCTGGCGCCAACCCGTTGCAGAGGATTTACAGACGCCGAGTTGATACTCTCCCCTCGTAAGGGTACCTGTCGTGTCTCCACTGAGACATAAAGATGACTATCGTGAAATTGTGTAGGTATGATAATATATCGCCTTCCATAATTCAAGGAGGGTGATTTTCATGATTGGAAAAATGGTGTACTCAACTCTCATCGAATATCGATATCAAAACTCCTTATTCGAATCGATTGCGATCGATACGACCTGGTCTTGGTCGGTATTCTTCGTTCTGTTTCTTTTTGAATCGCCTCTCTATATTGATTTGTTCCTCCTCATCTGTGACAAATGCCAAACACTGTTTTTCTCTGATATGCAACGCCGGAGTGCAACTCTGAAACAAAAAGATATGATTAGAAAAAAAAGGGAAACAAAAAGATGTGATGAAGGCAAGAGGAAACTGGAACATATCCGAGTGATATATGCTACAATTCATGACTGAAATGAGACATATCCTTGTATATTCATCATCTAAGGGAGGATGGAACAGATATAGGCAATAATCTCTTCCAACAAAAGAATCGTATTCAATTTACAAGAAAAATATAAACATTGTTATTTCGTTCCAATACGGCACATTTTTAGATATCAAATTGTTTTTCACTGTTGCATGGTATCCTATATTCGAATTAAACTTGAAGAAATAAATCGGTATCTCTATATCGAGAATCAGTTGGGAGAAATCCATGAAAATATGAAATGCTTATATTTTGGAATACGCTCTTTTCATTTGAAATATTTTCAGAAATGCAGCGTTGCCGCTTCTATAAGAGAGTAGCAACAACTTTGTTATTTGATTGCCTTCACCGTGTTAATTCATCTACTATTCTGTGCTAGATATACATAAAGATAAATGGTCCTTCAAAACTCATTCTGACATCCACAACCACAACACAAGGAATGCAG